GAGGGATGGATGGGTAGGTGGGTGGATAGACAAACGGATGGGTGGATGGATGGATGGATGGATGGATGGATGGTAGATAGATGGATGGATGGGTAGAGGGACTGATGGTGGATGGATGGGTGGATGGATGGATGGATGGTAGATAGATGGATGGATGGGTAGAGGGACTGATGGTGGATGGATGGGTGGATGGTAGATGGATGGATGGATGGTGGATGGATGGATGGGTGGGTGGGTGGATGGATGGACAAATGAATGGGTGGATGGTAGATGGATGGATGGATGGATAGATGGATGGATGGGTGGATGGTAGATGGGTGGATGGGTGGTGGACCGATGGATGGATGGAGATGGAGAATGAGGAACTGGTTCACGCGATCATGGCAGCTGAGATGCCCATGGCCGGCCTGCCGCCTGCAAGCTGGAGACCCAGGAACGCCTGTCTGAGGCCGAGGACCTGAGAGCCCTGGAGCCTACGATGCAAATCGCAGCCTGAAGGCGGGAGAAGACGCGACGAGAGCGGCCCCAGCCCTGCCGCTGAGGCCGGAGGACAGCGGGAGTTCCTCCTCCTTCCTCTGCCCTTCACTCTGTCCCAGCCCTCAGCAGAGTGGGCGGCGACTCCTCGCACGGTGATGGGGGAGGGGGCTGGTCATCTGCTGTCCTGCATCCACCGAGCCCGATGCTGATCTCCTCCGACACCCTCACAGGCACACCCGGAGGCGGTGTCCAACTGGGGCATGCCGCGGTGAGGCAAGGGGACACGTAAAATTCATCCTCACGGACGGGCGGAATGTGTCTGCCTCTTCCCCGGGACCACCGGCCCGCCCACTGAGGGGGGTTTCTGGGTGTCCGAGGGGCTGGCTTGCAAGGACGTCAAGGGACGATGTTAACAGGGACATCGCCTGGCGGCAGCAGGGGCCTCCCCGACACGGACAGGCGGGCCTTGCCAGAGGGCAGGGGCAGACACACCCGCCGCTTCATGTCCGTGTCACAACGGTCATTTTAGGAGCGAAGAATCGCACATTCTGCATAAAGGAAACAATGGGCAAGCCAGACGTCTGGCGTATTACAAAGAAGCATTTGGAGGAAAGAACAGGAACAGATGGCAAGGAAGAGCGTTCCTGCTCGCCCAGCAGATCGAGAGGGGAGGAGCTGGGTCAGCCCCTTTGCTCGCGAGCTCGCAGGAGCGAGGAGGCGCCCAGAGGCCGCGGGGTGGACCGCTGGCCGGGAGCTCGGCCTGGGGCTGCGTTCCCGGACCCCAGGGGGACGTTGGCGAAAACCTGCCAAGGGCTTTGAATGACGACGTTCACACTAAAAAACGTTAACATTTGTTCTGACTTTTTAAGGGATGGACAAATGGATGGATGGACAAATGGATGGACAAAAGGGAGGATTGAAAAAATAAGAATGCACACAGGCTCTTAAGAAAAATAGTGCCCTGACTGGTGTGGCTCAGTGGACTGAGCACTGGTCTATGAACTGAAAGGTCGCTGGTTTGATTCCCAGTCAGGGCACATACCTGGGTTGTGGGCCAGGTCCCCAGTAGGGGGTGCACGAGAGGCAACCACACATTGATGTTTCTCTCCCTCTCTTTCTCTCTCCTTTTCCCTCTCTCTAAAAATAAATAAATAAAATCTTTTCTAAAAAAATGAAAATATCTGCAGGGCCAGTTAAAAAAAAGAAAGAAAAAAGAAAAATAGTGACCGATCACAGACCATAATGCCTCTATTATGACCCAGAAGCAAAGTGTGAAGGTTTGTGGTACAAAGTTCAACATCCCCAGGACGTGGGGAAAACATCCATTTCGAAAGCGAGGGTGACGAAAGCGCCGGTTTGTTCCTGTAGCATCAGCGACACTGGTCATGCTCCCTTCACAAAGGCAGGGAGTCGCTGGCCTTTAACGAATAGACACAAGAATGGCTACAGAGAGGGAAGCGCTTCTGAGCGATGACCCGGCTGTGATCCGCTTCTTAGCTGCACGCTTAGGCCGCAAAACGAGCGATGCAGTGCGTGCAGCGCCGATGCCCACGGGTCCGCACCGACGTGAAGGAGCCCCAGAACAGACCGACCGATACACGTGCGGGAAAGAGACACAACCTCCTCAAAGACAGGCTCTGAGGGACACTCCGTGCTGCAGGACGCACAGCTGGACCCCATTCTCCTCCTTCCGGGGAGCGGTGGGGGCCGGGGCGAGACTCGGGCCCTGGCCGCCCGGAGCAGAGGGAGCACGAGGAAGAGCAGGAACCTCACAGGCTCCACGGGAACCGCGTGCTCCCCGACGCGCCGTGACCGCACGGGTACCTCCCCGGTCTGCCCCGGTCTGCCCACGAGGGAACCGCGGACAAACCCGTCCCCAGGACACCTGGCCGGACGCTCCGAGACACCCCAGGTCACGAACACCCACGGAAGGGGGGAAAACGGCCACAGGCCAGAGTGGGCGGGTCGGGGGGGACGTGACAACTCGGCGCAGAGCGACGTCCCGGGTTGGACCCCGGAGCAGCAGGGGACGTTGACGGGACAACTGGTGACATCCACCTAAAGCCTGGGGGCTAGTTGGCGGTGACACGCCAGTGTCGGCATCTCAGCTGTCACACTCGTCCCCTGGCAGCGTGAGTGCCAACGCCGCGGGGGGGCGGGGTGCCGGGGACTGTCTGCACTGTCTCTGCATCTTCGCACCTAAAGTTTTTCCAAAATCAGGTCAATTGGAAAAAAGAACAGCAGGAATCTGGGAGCAACGCCACGACAGAATCCCACCCGCGGGGCGGGGCAGTGGGCGGGGGGCTCACGTGCACCCAACGTTCATGGGCTGGATCCCCGGGCAGGACGCGAACAGGAGGTGGCTGACTGCTGTTTCTCTGTCACACGGATGTGATTCTCTCTCTCTGTCTCTCTCTGTCTCTCTTCCTGCCCCCTCCTCTCTCTCTCTAAAACCCTCGGGACCAGGCTGAGGACCAGCCCGAGCCTGCGGACAGGAGCCTCCCAGCAGCAGGGAGAGAGGCCGGCCCGCCCCGCCTCCGCTGCCCTCAGGTGGACTCCTTCGGCCGGTGACCATAACCAGCTCACGCAGCACCACGACGGACTCTTCCAGAGAACGCCAGCCCGCGTGTCCCACCAAGAGCCCCTCGGCTCCCTTTCGGGGGCGGGGGCAGCAGCAGCCCTGCTGGCGTGAGCGGGGCAGGCCACCCACACCTCCCTGGGGGGACGGACACAGGGCCACGTCCCAGGGTCCCTGGGAGGGCTGACGCGGGACCCGGCCGCCTCCAGCCCGAAGGCCAGGGTCAGCTGGGCCGGGCTCCGCCAGCCCCTCAGGTGGGGATGGCGAGCACGTTCACGAAGGGCAGGAAACGAAGCCGAAACGGAAAACACGGGGAAGCACGGGCAGCGGACCGCGCGGGAGCCCACGAGGGCGAACCGCTGACTCTCGCTCGGGCCTTCCACCGGACAGGCTGCGGACGCGGGTCCGTGCTCGGGAAGAACGCGGGGCCGGCACTCGGGGGGGGGGGGGGAGGCAGGCTTCCACTCCAGAAACAGGCAGCGTTCGGGGGCGAGTCAGTGGTTGGGAGAAGGGTGAACGGGACGCGGGAAACGGGGCGGAACCTGCAAGCTCTGCCGACCATGTAAAATCTGAGCGATGTACAGAGTACATAAATGTTCCTGTTTGCACCTGCACCCCCACGCCCGCCCGCTGGGGCCGCCGTGATGAAACACCAGGCTCGGCGGCTGGAGCAGCGGGCGCTCACCTCCCCCCGCACGCCCCCAATCCTGGGGGCTGACCGCCCGGGGCCCAGGCGGCGGGCAGGTCTGGGTCTCCTGAGCCTCCCCCTGGGCTGGCACATGCCGGTCTCGGGTCTTGCCCTGGTTCCCGTCTGGTGTCCCTCTGCGGGCCCAGGCTGCCTCTTCTTACAAGGACACGGGTCACGCTGGACCGGGACCCACCCTCACGGTGGTCTGCTCCTGCCCACTCCCCGACCCCCGCCACACCCCTGCTGCTGGGGGTCAAATGTAAGAATTTGGGGGATACAGCTCAGCCCCTAACACCTCCATAGATGACATGAAAATACTAGTAACAAAGCTCACCCCTTTTTCTAGCTCCAGGAGTCGGTGGGGGATGGTGGGGTGTGCTCCTCGGACCCTCGAGGAGCCGCACGATTTAAAAATGACCTATGACCTAAAAATGCGAAGACACCCCTGATGGCTCGGCTCGCCCTTGACTTTCCCTCCGACCGTGGTGGCCACACTGTCCAATCGCCCTCGTTCTCCGAGGGGCCGCCCTGCCCCCCAGGTGCCCGCCCCCGGGCCAGCGCACCCAAGGACCCCGGGGTATGGAACCACGTCAGGGTGTGTGCAAGGAGAGAACCTTTCCTGGGGACCCACCTGCTCTTCCTCTGAGGGGCTGGGGTTGGGCCGCATGAGCGCGGGTCCCTCCGAAACGTCTGATCGCGCTCAGAACGTCCACGTGAACGCTCGAGGCTCACTCCTCCCCGCCGCCTGCCTGCGGGGCCCCGGCAGGGCCCTCGGGTGCTGCCAGGCCACCCTCCTCGCCTCCTCGCAGGGGGACACAGGGTGTGAGCAGGGTGGCGCGTGTGCGAAACCCGCCGTGCACACTCACGAAGTCAGAAGCGGGACGGTCCGACAGCCCACCCTGACTCCCTCCTGGTCCTCCTCCTCCTCGCCCCCTCCCACCCCTCCCCGAGGCCCGAACAGGACCAGACCTCAGGCGACATTCTCCGTGTGCCCTGTCCCGAGTCTTCGTGGGAGAGCCCGTGCCCCCCCAAGAGAAAAACACTGACTTTTCCCGAACGGCCGTTTGCTGCCCCCCGTCCCGCAGACCTCCGTTGGCAACGCAGGGAGGCGAGGGCAGCCAACACCCGCAGACCCCGCCCCGTGACCCCACCTGCCCTTTGTCGCCTGCTGGCCAAGCACCTCAGCCACCTGCGGCGTGTTTCATGGCGTGTCGGCAAATACGAGAGGCAGACACAGCCAGGGGAGAGTGTGTTCACAGTCTTTATAAAAGTACAGACACTTAGTAACAGTGACACGCACAGTCCTCGCTTACAGCCGGAGCAGGCTTCTCCTCCCGGACCTCGCAGGAGGCCAGTCCGGCCGTTTCCGTCAGGGGGCGCAGGCCGACCGAGGTCACAGACGAGACAGACAGTCGTGGGTCGAAGGGACAACACGCGCCGCACTCGCCCAAGGGACAGCCAGGCCTTCCGCATAAACACAACAAAGTAGTAAGGAACCGAACACCTCTGCTCTCACCCGATCCCACACATGGGCCCGGGGCTCACACACGGGAGAGACAGCGCAGCCCCTCCCACCGCCCCTCGCCCCTCACTGGGTCTGCCACGCGCCGAGTTCCTTCACGGTTCAGGGTCCCGAGGGAGACGGGCATCGAGGGAGTGACAGCCCGCCGCTGTTCTCGGAGCGTGGGGGGGTGGGGGCCGGGGACAGCGACACGGACACTCACATCCGGAAGGGAAGGGGGACACGAGATGGGCCGGCCGGGTGGGGGCTGCAGAGGCACAGGTGTGCAGCCCACCGGGGACGGCCTTGAGGATGGGTCTCCTCCCCGATCGAACACCAAGCTCCCATCCAAAAGAGAGGGTCTTTTCCACGTGCTTCTCTCTGCTTCGAAAGTTCTACTTTCGAGGGAATGTTCCAGAACCCAGCCTGAAGCTACACGAAGAAATCACAGCACAGCCAGGAGCCTGATGCCTGCCCCCGCCGCCCGCCCCGGCCAGCCTGAGAGCGGGGCGAGCCCATCCACCGGGGAGCAGGCGCTGCAGGTCCGTCCAGGCCAGCCAGGACTGGGCAGCGCCACGGCTTCTGGGGTCAGCAGACGTCCGCCCTCCCCTCGCTCCATCAGGGACGTGGGGGCAGAGGAGGTCCCCACGGGCGGATGAGCAGAGACGAGCCACCCCTGCTCGCCGGCGCTGCCGGGCCACCAGTGCAGACGGATGCAGGCTTTTCGGTCCTCGAGGGCGCGGCCACCAGGGTGGCTTCCGTCTCCCCTGCCCGACGAGGACTCGGGCCACCGTGTGGTCTCCCTGCTGAGTTAATCCCTCTCCAACCGGTGCCAGTCCTTTCTCCCATGCTGCTCGTGGCCGAGGGGTCCCCTCGTGCCAGGCCGAGGCCCCACGAGGAGACGGCCCCCGGCAGCGCCCACGAGACACGGTCAGACCTCACCGGGGTCCACAGCGTGCACACACGCAGGGGCGACGGTCACAGAACTGAGCGTCTTCGGCTCGGTCCTCGGTGGGAGGAGCAGAAACAGCGACCAGGAGCCGGTCGGGGGACCACAGCTGTCCCGAGAGAAGACACGGGACTGTCCTCAGAGGGCGGCCCCGCCAGGCCAGCCTGAGGGCTCGCGGCGACCCGGCCGAGCTCTCAGAGAACCGCGCCCGTCCTCTGGGCAGCTGGAAACCCCGGGCCGCGGGCCCACGCCCTCCAGGTGCGTCCCGGTCTGACCCCGGCCGTTTTCTCTCTGTAACTAACCGACCGAAACCCTGTTCTGCACCTTCCGGAAGGATGGGGGTGCTGTTGCTGCGACGGCGTGGACACGGGGCTGCCATCCCACAGGTCGCCGTGGGCCACCGGCCACGACAGCCAGCCCCACGGGGGTGTTTCTGCCTCCACGCCGGGCCCCTCGTGGACGCACGCGGTTGGTGGACCTCTCATCTCTTCCTCCGGCTTCTAAAAATGTCACGTCGACCCAACGATGCCACACAGAGAAAACTCATCTCTGGGGAAGATCACTGACCCCTCAGCAAGTTTCTGCCGAAAAGGCGACAGTGTGTCCAAACCTCGCTCAGAACGCGTGCACGCCCCTCGGCCTCTGCCCCTCAGGGGGTCCCCGCAGCCTGCATCGGTCTCTGCCCAGCTGTCCCCTCCCGCTCAGAGGAGCTGGCGCCGGTGGGGAGGGGCCTGCGAGGGAGTCACCTCTGCAAAAGGACGGACACCGTGGCCTGGATGGGCTGCTGCAGGACACTGCCGTCGGCGTCCCGTGACCGTGGCCGATGGCTGAACAGGCAGTGACCGGGGAGGCCCGGGCAGGGCTCACAGTGAGGACGGGTAACAGTCCATACGTAGTCCGAGGGGCCCCAGGCCGGTGCCCCGTGTCCACCACGAGTGCCGCCGAGGGAGCAGGAGGAGGGGACGGCTGTCACCAGCGGTCCCCACAGCCCACCCTGCCGGTGGACCCCGCAGCCCTGAGGGCTGCTGCAGGCCAGGCGTCGGCTCCACCGCTGCCCTCGGGCCACCGCCGACCCCGTCAACACTGGCCCTTGACACCATCGGCCACGTCGAAGGGGAGGCCGCCGGGCGCCGCGGGCAGCAGCGCAGGCATGCTGGCCTCCAGGGGCCGGTCCGCGGGGGGCTGCAGGCTCTGGTGCCGCTTCCTCAGCATCTGCCCGATGCCCATCATGGGGAACCTGCCGCGGCTCTTCACGCAGTTCGGGCTCCCCAGGGGCCGCACCACGCCGGCCCCGGGGCCCAGGGGGGGCACGTACACGCCCCCCTCTCTCGGGGGGCAGCTCCTGTCTTCGTGAGCAAAGGAGACCAGGGTGGGATGCAAAGGAGTCTGGAGAGGCGACGGGCTTCCGGGCAGCAGGGCCGGGGACAGCGCCCGCTCCCCGGGGCTCCCGTGCGCCGAGCCCCCCGGGGAGCCCAGGGCCCCGCCGTGGTGGGCGGGGAACAGCAGGTCCAGCGGGTCGTCGCGGTCCACGGACTCGAAGGAGTGGACCATGTCCGGCATCAGGGGGTCCTCCCGGGGCAGGACACCGCTGCCCCCCGGGCCCTGCTGGGGGGGCTCCGCCTTCTTGACCACCCTGGGCGTTCTGGGCGGCGGGACGGCCACGAACTCCATGGAGGAAGAAGCCACGCAATGGGAGTCCGAGGTTTTGCGGAAGATGTTGCGGCAGCCGAAGGAATCTGCGCACGAGAGAGCAAAGGCCATCGTGAGGCTCCCGCCGCCCCTCCCCCACGGGTCCCCACCCTGCTCGCCCGACCTCCTCTGCACAGGCGGCCTGTGCACGCGGCCAGGTCTCCACTGTTCCCGCGGGCACGGGGTCCGTGTCCGCCCCGGGGCCACACGGCAGCCTGGGGAGCAGGCCCGGCGGACCCACCTTTGTCGGGGAGGCCGGACTTGGTGGCCTTGCGGTCCCGCAGCAGCAGCCTGGTGCCCGGCACCTGCGTCGAGGGCGAGGCCGGGGGCGGCCTGTGCGAGAGCAGGGGCTTGTCCGGCTTCCTGGGGAGCGGCCGGTGGAGGAGGTCCCCTCTTTTCTCCTGTTCTTTGGGCTTCTTGTCCTTCAAAGCAGAAGTGGACACGGACTCAGACACCCGCGAGAATCTACTGTGTTGGCCAAACAGGCCGTTTAGTTTATCCCGTACAATGGCTCTAGTAGTGCTCAGTTGTCTTTAACTCCATTCGAAACAATGTTGTTAGGTTGTACTGTGACAGCTGTCATACAGTTTGCATTTTTAAAGAGATTTCATTTATTTATTTATTTTTAGACAGAGGAGAAGGGAGGGAGAAAGAGGGAGAGAAACATCAGTGTGTGGTTGCCTCTCACGCAGCCCTCTACTGGGGACCTGGCCCTGCAACCCAGGCCTGTGCCCTGACTGGGAATCGAACCGCCGATTCTTCAGTTCACAGGCCTGCGCTCAGTCCACTGAGCCACACCAGCCAGGGCTATTACTTCTCTTCTCAGCGTACATTAAAAAAAAAATCAAAATCGGTGAACTTTTGTGAGGCCATTTTAATATTGAAGATGGAAGAAAACATGCAACCTTTTCAGCATATTGTGCTTTATTATCTCAAGAAAGGTAAAAACGCAACTGAAACACAAAAAGATTAGTTCAGTGCACGGAGAAGGTGCTATGGCTGACTGAACGTGTCAAAAGCGGTTTGCGAAGTCTCTTGGTACTACTGACGTTCTGGCCTAGTAATTCTCTGCTGTGGGGCTGTCTCGTGCACTGGAGGGTGTTTAGCAGCCCCCCCCGGCCTCTGCCCAGTGGGACCCAATAGCAGGAGACAGTGGACATGTGCCAATCACCCAAATCAATCAAGTGATTGGAGAAAATGAGAAATGTGTCTTTTACGGGAAAAAGTCACTGACTTTTTGGCCAGCCCTGTACACGTGACCCCTGCTTGAAGGGTTATGCTCGCAGATTAGAGAAAGCCAGTTGTTCACAAGTCTCTGAACAGAGCCAGCCTGGGGGTGCTCAGGCGCCCGCCCCGCCTCCCCGGGCCTGGGCCTGGGCCTGGGCCCAGCAGCCTCCTCTGACCCCAGCAACCCGTGCTGCGTCGCCTCCCGGGGCCCCAGCCGGGCAGGGTCAGCCCCAGGAGGTCGATTATTCGAGAACAAGCTGGACAGACGGAGGCAGAGCAGGAGAGGGCTTCTGGAACCCGCCGTCTCGCTCTGAAGCAGAGCCCCGAGGTTCTGCCACCATGGGTAGGCAGCCACGTCACCGGGACGCGGCCGCTCAGGGGGGCTCAGCCGCGCGGAGGGCCGGCAGGAAGCCCGCTGGGCCCTGGGCGGGCCGGGGACTCTCCGACACGCCGCCGCCGCCCCCGGGCACATGAGCACTCACTCTTGTCCCTGACAGGGGCGCCCCGCGGCCACTGTTGCCACGGTCTCGCCTCCACTGACCTCGACTGCAGCCCCGACAGGAGCGAATTCCACTCCTGTCCCTTCAAACCCGCAGCCTCGGGCGTGAGGCCAGGCCCCCGGGGGAGGCGTCACAAACGGTCACCAGACATTAAGGAAGGAAACGCCGGTGGGAGCTGCCAGGAACCAAAACGAAACGGGGTCAGACTCCCGGGAAGTGGGGCCCCCGAGCAGCGGCTCTCTCTCTGGCCCCGGGAGCCGCGTGACATCTCGCTCTCCCCGAGTAGCGGGTGCCGGACCTCGGGGGACTCGGGGGACAGAGGGCCGGCGGCCCCGCTCCCACCTCGAGCCCAGGAGCCTTTTCATCCCAGAGACACCTCGCCTGCTCTCACGGAGGAGCCAAGAAGCTTCTCGGGGACACAGCTCTACCCTGGCTGCGCCTCTGCCGTGAGAACGTGGGAAGCCCTCACAAACTCTGGCGTGTCCCAAGTCTGAAACAGGACGCAGGGAAGAAAGAGGATGCAGGGAGGCCACGCGGAGCCCCGGGTGTCACCGTGCAAGGCCGGAGGCCCAGCTGCGGCGGCCCGTGCCCCAGGGAGAGGGGAGGCGGGCAGACACGAGAGCCGAAGCTGCTGCCAACTCCCTCCCCAGCGTCTGCACGGCCACCGCAGCCCGTCCCGGGGACACCCGGAGTGACGGATGCCACACACCGAGGGGACGCAATGAGGCAAGGCCCGTGGCCCGGCCGTCCTCCAGACAAGGGGCAGTGCAAGCGACCAGCTAACCCCAGGGCCTGAGGAAGACTCCGATTTCCCCAGAGCCCCGAAACCGGGGTTCATAACCCAGACTCCACACCCCCCACCAGGAGCCAGGGACAGGGAAAGGCGGGCCATGCTGGTGGCAGGCACAAAGGGCAGACGCAGCTGCTGGCCGGGGCGGGGGCCGCTCGGAGTCCGAGGGCTCCAGTCGGTCCCCGAGACGCTACGGACGAAGCCGTGGGCTCCGGGTCACCAGGCACGATACCACCCAGGGGGGAGGGGCGCATCTGCTCCAGGTCACCTGGGTCGGCCCCCTGCTTCTGCAGAATGCCCCCCGGCCCGGAGGCCAGAGAGAGCCAGCTCCCACCCCTCCCCCCAAGCGTCAGAGGGGCCGGGATGACCGTCCCGCCAAGTCGGGCTGCTCTGCGGTCCCCACACTGTCGGGTCTGCCGGCGTCTCCGTGGCTTTGTCTCAGGCCTCTTCCTCGCCCTCGGGGCTCTCCAAAGCCGAAGGGTCGAGACGCAACAGGTCACCCCCCCACCCCCCGAGAAAGGCGTCCAATCATCAGTTTTCTGCAGAAAGAGACCAGGGCTGGCTCTAGAAACCTCTGCTGTGACCGACGAAGGGACGTTTGGCGACAGGCCCTGTGAGGGCAGGAGAAGGGGAAGTCCCAGGAGCCCTGCTCCGGCCCCCTGCTGGACTCAAGCCAGGACCCTGTGCCCCCCCCGGCTGTCCTCCAGCCCAGAACGGTGGGTCATTCGCAGTGACTGGTGTCCCAGGCGGTCGGTCGCCAGGAATCGGCCACCCGACTGCTCCCTGCCGGGGACAAGCCACCGGGGACCAGCCCCGGGTCAGTCCCTGTGGAAGGGCCCCGGCCGCGGAGACCCGTCTGCGTCCGAGCGCCGTGCCCCAAGCGCAGGTTACCGATGCAACGCCCGTCGAGCCCCCTCCCCACCGGCGTGGCCTGCGTTTCCCAAGAGGGTTCCTGGAAAGCAGGAGGCCCCCTGCCCCGTGGGACAGACGCACATCGTCCGACAGACTGACACGCCCGCCTTCGGCGTGTCAGCGCTCGGTTAAAAGGTCCCATGTGGGCCCCCACGCCCGGTCCCGAACGCCCCAAGGCAGATCAGAGAGGGGACCCCAGGCGGCCCCAGGTGCGTGCAAGCCGCACACAGAGCAGCTTCTTTTCTGCCAACCACCCACCGTGGACGTCCGTGGGGACTTAAGTAACTGGTCACTGACAGTGTGGCCCCACCGGGATTACCCACCAAGACTCCTGAGCCGTGGCTGTTTGATGGAGGGGAGCGCGGAGCCAGGGAGTGAGGACCCACTGGGCGCCTGGGGTGTGACACCTACGGGCGTGACAGCCGGGGGGTCGAGGGGGAGCCCGTCCTCGGCCCGTGACCGGAGTTTGGGGCGCTGGTCTCCGGGGGCTCAGCCTCCTGTCCCCCAAAGCCGGCCCCCTCCCGTGGGGGCAGCAGCGTGACTTTCGGGAGGTCGCCCCCCTTAAAGGAAGCGCCTCCCTCCGTAACCGAAAGGGAGGGTCCTTCCAGCTCTTCCAACATGAAGGAACCCACACGTCCCCTGCTTCCTCAGTGTAACGAGGACAGGTGCGCCAGTCCCCCCACCCCCCCGTCGCCCTCATTGCCCAGGCAGCCGCTCGCGCCCTCAGCGGGGGCACGTGGACACAGGGAAAAACAGATGCCCACTGCGGAGGAGCCCTGGGGGCTCGAGACGAGGCGAGTGACCACAGGTCCAGCTCAGCGCGGCTCTTCTGGAGCCTGCTGCCCCCTGGACCGTGAGCGGACCTCATCTGACCGTCTGGGCCATCAGAGCCAGGTGCCCAGCGGCCCAGGTGTTGGCTGGCTGATCGGGCTCCTTGCTGCCCGTGCCACAAGGGGAAGCCTGACTTTGCCGCAGGAAACACACAAGGGAGTTGAGGAAAGGGGGGCTCGGTTCACGAACCGGGCCCCTGAGCCGGCAGCCCCGCGGCAACCGCCGTGGCTCACCCAGGTAGAAACTCGGGTGCACAGCCAAGCGCACAGCCACCTCAAGGCGGCGTAAAGCAGCCCGCTGAGAGGAGGACCTGGCCGGAGGGGCTCCCGGCAGCCTCACTCACGGGGGTCCCTGCGTGTTCCACTCAGGACGAGGACCAGCGGGCAGAGCCCAGGGTGCTGGGCGGAGTGCCAGTGGCCCTCAGGGGTACGCCCGACGGCCAGGCAGCCAGTGGCTGGCCACACACCAGCCTGGATGTGGCTGTGGGGCGTTCTTCAGGCGAGGTTAGCGTTTTAATCAGGAGCCTGAGCAAAGCGGATGACCCTCCACCACAGGTGGGCCTTGTCCAGCCGGTGGACGACCTTAAGAGAGGCAGCCGGCAGGGTCCCCAGGGAGAAGGGTCCCCAGGGAGAAGGCTCCTGCCTCCCAGCGGCTTTGGGTGAGGAGCTGAGACACCCCCCTTCCCTGGGTGTCCACGCGGGGACACATGCACCCCACGGGGTCCACTTCTCCCGAGAACGCCGACCAGTGCGCCCCAGCGCCCCAGGGGGCTTACCTGCGCGGCAGGGAAGTCCAGGTCCCGCGTCCAGGCGTCCAGGGAGGCCTGCGGACAGCAGCATTCGTCAACAGGTCAGAGGCCGCACCTGCTATGGATCCCGCACCTGCACCGCACCTGCACCCGCACCCTTGCCGCTGGCCCCGCGGTGTGAGAATCACGCAGCGCGGTGTTCACACCAGATACTGACCCCCAGGTCACAGTGCAGGCAGGCGGCAGGCGCCCTAAGTCACGTGCTGACACAGGTGCCAGGGACTGTGTTCTCAGCTCCAAGGCACCACGGAGGAGGGCTCCCGGGACGAGTGAGCAGGTCAAGGGGTTTTCTCGAAACGCAGCCCCCACTGGACGCCCCTCGGGCCCCACCCGTGTCCCCCCACTCCAGTCCCCAAGGCAACTGCTGTCCTGGTTTCTAACAGCTCAGCCGGCCTAGAAACTTCATTAAGAAACCTCATTGTAAAAAGGTGTCGAGGCCATGAAACAAGACGCAAAGCAGACAGTGGAACATTGTACCTTCACTCACACGGTCCCCTTCATGGGTGGGATTGTACTTCCCCAAGATCCTACATGGGGGCCCTCAGCCGGGGACGGGGCCTAATTTGAGGACGGCACCAGGACAAGCCTGTCACGCCCCCTTTGAAGTCTGGGGTCAGCGGGGCTTGGGGAAACCCAGTCCTTTGCCTTGCAGACGGGGGCCGGTAATCAGGTTAAAAGGAAGTCCCTGGGGGCCCTAATGCAGCGTGACCAGTGTCCTTATCCAAACGGCAACTGGACACAGAGACACACGCAAGGAGGGTCCCGTGTGCCGACAGGGGCAGCGGTCGGGGCGATGCTCCCACGGGCCCAGGAGCCAGAGACGGCCACCCTCTCCAGGGGCAGGGAGAGGGGCCTGGGGCAGAGGCCCCCAGCCTCCGGGGACGGCCCTGCCACACCCTGGTCTCGGCCTCCCGGCCCGCATGCCGTTTAAGCCCCGTCCATGGTCCTGTGTCACAAACATAGTCCCCCCCCAAAGCAGCTTTTCTCCCCAACAGCGAGGCCACTGGGACAGCACAGAGAGCCCCCCCCCGCGGGTCCGTCAGACACTCTACTACACGTCAACGTGACTGTATCGAAAACGGCTTCCGGCTCTGTGTGGCCTCACAGGCCAGTTCGAATCTGACGGCCGCCCCTCCTGGACCCTCTGGTCCTCCGGGGCCCCTCTAGGAAGGGGGGTCCCCGGGGCCTGTGCCCGAGGGGCTCGCACAGGAGGCTCGGTCCCGATTTCACAGACAGACATACTCCCCGCCGCTGGCAGGAAGAGGAGGTGGAGGCGGGGCCGAGTCGCAGGGTCCTGGCACTGAAATCCCACGAGGGAAGGTTTTCCGCGTAGTCCAGCCCCTTTGTCTCCCGCAGAGGAGCGGGTGGAGAGGAACACCCACCAGGCTGCCCGGGCTGCTGCGTGTGGGCAGGGCCCCGGAGCCGCTCCCCCGCCACCCAGGGCACAGCCCGGGGCTCCCAGCCGCCGCCTGGCCGCTGCGCCCCGCCCCCACCCCCCCAGCCGTGGAAGGCGGCTGTTCTCAGACACCCAGGGGCGCCGCGGGGCCGCTCACCTCGTAGGGCTCCTTGCTGGGCCTGCACCTGCCCACCTGGGAGAGCGGGGTCCTGGGGCAGAGGCCATCCTGGACGTCGGGTTTCTACCGAGGAGAAGAGAGAAAGCATGCTGGGCGCACGGGAAACAGAAACGTGCGTTAAGGCCGACTCGGCTTTAAACCGGGGCTGGGCTCGAGTGCCCCGCGTGGCGGGCCGGGAAGGGCCGGGAACCGCAGGGAAGCCCCCTCCCTGGCTCTGCCAGGAAAGGCCAGGGGGCCCTGGTGGGCGGGCGGCCGCTCCCCGCGGGCCTGCGTCCCCCGTCTGCGCGGAGAGATGCTCTGCGGTGTCACCGCGGAGCCCAGGGCCGAGCTGGGAAGGGTAACGCCATTCGTTTAGCTGCTCCATGGGACACAGGGCTTCGTTACTGGCTTATCTGACAGGGGTCCCGTCTGCCCCCCACCCCGAGGAGAGTCCCAGCAATTCGTCCAGGCCCAGAACAAGACGACAGGCGGCTGCACCTGTGATCGACGGCGGGCCACCCTCCCCCCCCCACCGCAGACAGGTGAGACTCCGTGGCCCATTTGTTTATCCGCCAACAAGTGTTCACAGGGCGTCCCTGCAAGAGCTCCGGACTAAAACCCCTGCTTCTCGGCTGCAGTAAAAAGAAACAGGATCAAGAGAGCAGGGGGAACAGGTTGGTGAGGTCAACCGTTTCACCCTCTCGATCACGGGTTTCATTTTCAAAATCACGCGCTGCCCTTAATCGGTCGACATTAAGAACTGGGACGGGGCACACAGTGCGATTAAATTAGCCCCGGCCCGCTGGAGCCCAGAGCGCTGTCCTCGGCCGTGGGGACGCGTCTGCCCCAGTTAAGAGCGGCGGCCGCGAGACCAGGCGCGTCCTGGGGTGTCAGCGCCGAGGGCGGAACAGACACAGGGAGGAGGCCCGTCCCCGGCGGGAGCGCCGTGGGCCGGGGTTCCGGGCGGAGGACGCTCTCCCCGCAGACAGGGTCGTGCGCAGCCCCGCGACCCTGCGGCCGGGCCGCGGAGGGCGCAGCGCAGCCCGCGGCAGGACTCCCGGGAGGACGCAGGGCTCCCCCGTTCGGGCCGCGCCGAGGGCACGTTCCCGGGAAGAGTGGGCGAAAACAAGTGCGCCTCCGCGGAGGCGGAGGGAGACGCCGGAGAGACAGTGAGTGCTTCCACGGCCCGAGCCCCTCCGCCTGGCCGCAGGGCGGGTCCGCCGGCCGCCGAGGGCGGGGGTCCCGCCGTCCTCCGCGCACATGCAGGAGCGTGGACCTCAGGCCGGGCCGGGGAGACACTGACTGGACACTGGTTTTCGGAAGGCCGTCCACCCTTCGGAAGCAGAGAGCGGGCGGGCCGGTCCTCTTCCCCCGGGGACTTACTCCGGTCCCCGGCGGCCGCCCCCCACGGCCGCGGCGGCCGCGGCTGTGACCCTGCGCCCCCGGGAAGTGCCGCGGGCAGGCGCCCGGGCGGCGTGCTCATGTGTGGGTGACCCACGGGCACGAACAGCCCACGGATGTGCCATGTATGTTATAAAAAACAGACAACCAAGCAGGAGCGGGAAGCGGCGGGAAAGACAGGAGGGACACGCAAGCCTCTGAGAAGACACAAACGAGAGACGGCTGCGAGGGCGACCTGTCCTTTAGCTCCCCGTCGCGGCCGGCGGAACGGCCGGAGCCTCGGTCGGAGGAGAGGGTCTCAGCCGCTCCTTGTCCCGTGACAAGTGACAGAAACCAGGCGCCGGGGCCAGGGCTCCGTCTCTCTGCCTCGACTGCTCCCCCCTCCGGCCGTGGCACCGGCTCCAAACGCGCCCGCCCGGCCGCCCCTCGGTCTGGTCCCGCCCTCTGCTCTCCCGGAGCGCCCCCCTCCACTGCAGCCGCCCTGGTTGTTAGAGGCCCTCGGCCCCCCTGAGCGAGTTACTTCCCGGGACATCCTTCCCTGGGCGGCCCAGCGAACACGGGCGTTCTGTGGGTCGTTCGAAAGTGAGCACCCCAGGCTGCTTCGGCTCAGAAACACCTGTCCTCTCGCCCGCCCGGCCGTTCCCCGAACCCCCGAACCCCCGGGAAGGTCCGCCGTCCGGGCGGCGGTGTTTCCCGGACGCCTCCCCGGCCCACTCACTGCAGAGGCACACTCTGACCCGTCCTGTCTCCCGGCACGCCGTGGCTCATCGCTGCCCTGGCGCAGAGGAGGCCGTTTGCCCGGTCGGGGAAGGGCGTCCATCTTTATCTCTCAAACAGAAACCTCAAGAACGGCTGCCACGCCCCGGCCGGGATGGCTCAGCTGGCTGGAGCGGCGTCCCGTAACCCAAGGGCTGCCGGTTCGACCCCCAGCCCAGGCACGTAGGGCAGGAAACAGATCGATCAGTGGTTCTCCTCTGCCCTTCCTCTCTCTCTCAGACCACTGGGGGAAAAGGCCCTCAGGTGAGGGAAGAAAAGGTTTCCAAGCCTACTGCAGGGGAATTTTGTGAAATATTAGGGTTACCTTTCAAACAGCCCCAGAGAAACCCTGGACTGCAGGGGTGTCCGGCCGCAGCCCGAGGGCCACATGCGGGTCAGGACGGCTGTGAATGCGGCCGACACAAGAGCGTACATTTACTTGAAACATGAGGAGATTTTTGTGTGTGATTACGTGTCACAATGTATTTCACGTGTGGCCAAAGACAGCTCTTCTTCTTCCCGGGTGGCCGCGAGGCGCCCAGAGGTCGGACCCCCTGCTAGAAGTTCGCCTCTGTGGTGCATTCACGAGTCTTCCCGGCAGCGGCCAGCCCCACAGCCGGGCCTCGCGGCGCCCCGCCCACAGGGTGGGCGCCCTCCGTCGAGGCAGCGGGGAGCAGCGCCCAGCTGCCCACGGGTGCCTGACACGCCGAATCTCGACCGGGTCTTCCCTGCGGAGTTCCTTCCGAGCCACTGTCCGCCGAAAGAGAGCTGATTCGGTCAAGACTAACGCCCACCACCACACGTGTAAATCGCAGCCCCAGGGGCACGGGAGCTGCTTGCGGCACAATGGAGGTGACCACGGGGCGAGGGCGCCACCCACCCCGGTGGTGGGACCCTGCGGGACCCCACGGGGGCACAGGCCACCTGCCCCCTGACTCGCAGCCGTGGAGAAGAGCAGCCAGGGGCCGGGCGGCGGCTCTCGTCTCGCTCTTCTGGAGAACAAATGGGCACGGGGGTCTCCCAATGCACCACCCCCAGCTTCGACGGCCACACAGGTCCCCAGTGCCTCCGGCGGGGACCCCAGGGTGCTAAGAAGTGGCAGCCAGAAGGCAGAGGAGAAGCCACAGGGAGAAGAGGCCCCGGGGTCCCGGCAGCCTGCCCCGAGCCCGACTCTGCATGAGGACACGGGGAAAACGCCTCGGACGGACAGCGTGCCCCCTGCCCCAGCCCCACCAGGCAGGTTTGCTGCTGTTCTCAGCTCCCCCCGTTGGGACCCTCAGCCTCCCCTGGGTCTGATGTCACCGCCGAGGTCAAGGGTCGGTCACTGAGGGGACCCACGGGGAGACGCCGCGCGGGCCCCACTCACCCCCGACAGGTAGCGCTCGAGCTTCTTGTTCAGCAGGAAGTAGACGGCGAGGATGTGGCAGGCGCGGTTGGCGAGCACGGTGCTGACCACGTCGCTGTTCCGGTAGCCCAGCTTCTCCGTCATGTGCAGCACCACGCTCGGGCTCAGGTCGGCCAGCGAGATCCTGCGGCGGAGGCACAGGGCGCGGTCACCCCTCCGCCCGCCCGGGGAGGCCGCTGCGCAGAGCGGCGCTCACGCCTGCGCTCGCAACCCAGGGCCACCGCCCCGGCCGCTCGCGGCCCTTCCGCCGTGACAAAGGTCCTTCTACGGAAAAGCGGAGGAAATGGTGTCGTTCCCCACGTGGACCCAGCGCCTGGGTGGGCCGAGGTTAACGCTTCATTCACTGAGTTTCCTTCTCTTTCTTTCTTCCCCCCGTCCTCCCCTTTCTTCCCCCCTCCCCCTCTCCTTCCTTCCTTCCTTCCTACTCTACATCCCAGCCATCCTGCATTCCTTCCCGCAGTGCCCCAGTGTGCGTCCTAAGTCCCGTCCGCATGCCCAGCGGGCGGCAGCCATCCCTCCGCACTTCCTAACACCTGGACCGCAGTCTGGGCCCACCGGAGGTCCCAGGTTTTGCTATGATCCATGTTCTTTCCTCCCCTGCACTCGTCCAACATGGGTGGAGCCCACACTCAGGTGGGTTTAAGTCAGGTAATAAAGTGGGTTTTCAGGAACCGGCCCAGAGGGGGGTTAAAGGGACGGTGTGAGCTCACGAGTTCGTCAGTAGGACACTGGGGGCCCGGCTGCAGAGCGAGCAGGGTGCCCTCCGCAGACAGGCCAGACCTGTGCAGGAGGGGGCTGTGGAGCTGCACTCCGCGGGGTGGAGAGCCACAGAAACACCGGCGTCCGTCCGCGCATCCGTCCACTCATTCGCTCATTCGCCCATCCACTCACCCCACAAGCCTCTCCCCGAGGGGCAGAGACAGGACCCCACGCGGCCCCCACGACGCTCCCGTGGGGGACACCATTATCCCCCCACTCACAGACGAAGAGAGGCGGCCCACAGCGGTGACCTGACGCACCCGGGGCCCCAGGGGCAGGAAGTAGCAGCCCCCCCAGTTCGAGCCCAGCCCCCCGGCGAGCTGGCCCAGCTCCACGCGCACCGCCTCGGAGACGGGCGGGCGGGCGGCCACAGAGCACGGGCGGGCAGGCGGGCCAGCGGCTTCCCAGACGAGAGGTCTGACACCTGGGGCCCTTCTTCTCTTTCCTCCCCGACAGCAAACACTGACGACGTCTAGAATAGTTAAGCCTGGGGCCCTGGGGCGAGGCAGGTTGGGAAGCAACAGAACACACTTTACGACGAGAGCAGCCCCTTCTCGGGGCTCAGTTCCTACTGCGCGTATCTGTGGGCTGGGGAAGCCAGAAGAGTAGCTGTCGCTGTCTCCCCACCTCCAGCGCTTCTCGAAACAAAGACGGTGAATACGCTGTGGCTCCCCCAACGAGAGCAGAGCTCCAGCCACACCCCGAAAACCCACCCATAGCGCGGCCTCCAGGAGAGGAGGGGCAGCAGGCCCTCCGTCGACAGGACGCGAGAGCCCCGTCTCTGGACCACGAGGCCGGGCCGTTTGTGTGTACAGCCTGCCCGACTGCCTCCCACGCAGCCTTACACTTGGGACTGAGTCCAAGTTCAAGAGCCCTGACCTGGCCGAGCCAGCACAGGACGCTGGAGTTCAAGTTTTCATCTACAAAAGCCCGCCCGCAACCTGAGGGGAAAGTACAAAAGGAGACCCCACCCAGGGTGACTCTTTGGGAGCGACGCTTCAGTGAATGGGGGCCTCTTTCTGACACCAGGTCTGCTTCCTGCGACAGCTGCCGTGTTACTGGACCGAAGCAGCTCGTCGGGACAGTGACCGCTGGCCGAGGGACGCCTTGGACTGCTGGCGGTGGTCGAGCGCACCTGCGTGCCGTCTCCCCCCGGGCGCCGGCGAGCAGGCCTGGCCCAGCGGCGCTCTCCGTCCCGAGCTGGGGTGACTTTCAGGGTCCGTTTCTGATGCTGGCCCAGCCGAGCCCGAGCCGGGAACCAGCAGTCTGGTCCCGGGTGCCCCGGGCCACCAGGAGCCTGGACCCCGTGTGAATCCCAGGTGACGAGTGGGTGAGGCCCCCTCGTCTGTTGCCACGGGGTAAGTCTGACCCGGCGGCGTGGATGTGGTCCCCAGGAACACCCACCCATGCCCCCTTAGGTTCTTCTAAACCAGGGGGGCCAAACTCGTGTTCCCTGGGGGCCCCATCGGCCTTGTGGGCGCCTTCAAAGGGCCGAGTGCAGTTTCAACTGTTTAACAGTCAAGGAGCAGTTACATTTACACAGTCCCCCAAATTACATCCGGTCCTTTGCAGGCCACCAGCCGCGAGGCTGACGTGGGCCCCGGTGAACACGAGGTTGACACCCCGTTCCAGACCTCCCTCCCCAGAACAGACCCCTCCAGCCCCTCTCCCGTGGAGAAGCCAGCGCCTGACGGGAGTGTCCAGACCCTCCTGGGCAGCCTGGAAACGCGACCGCAGGGGACACTGCTCCCTGGCCTGTTGCCCCCCACCCCGTCCTCACAGGTGCAGGACACTCCGGTCTGAAGGACAAGCCAGGGGCCCCAGGTGGCCCCCACGCTGGCTCTCGAGTGACCACGGTCAGGCCCCCCTGTTCCCTCACTCGCGCCGGCTCCAGCCGCACGTCGAACCGGTGGGGGAGCAGTCGGCGAAACGCCCCCGCGGGCCGGCCTCGGGGCTGCGGGCAGCCCCCCACGTGAGCAGGGTGCCGCTGGGGTCCCCACGCCGGGGCCCTCCGCACAGAGGCCACCCCGAGGCATCCGCGCCGGGAGCCTTCTCGGGGAGAGCCCCAGGGAGACGCCGCCCGGAGCCAGAGACGCCTGCCACCGTCCGTCCCTCCCACCCAGACGCCCGGAGGCAGGGCCAGAGGGTCGTTTGGAGGAGAGAGAGGCATTCCACCGATGCCGGCGGAGGAGCCCGGGTGGGTCTCCCACTCACTCACACACTCACACATACATGTGCTCACACACTCAGACACACGCTCCCTTGGGCACAGCTGGTCTAAAGGGTCCCTTCGTGTGAAGACGAGGTGCACCCTGGGAAGGGTGTCCCTCAGTAGTAGGTGTCACGAGGGGGACAAGCCCGTATTTCAGCCTCACCCGCCCTCCGCAGGCACCGCTCAGGGTGCACGGGGCAGGGGGACTGTGTCCATCCACACCTGCTCCTGGGCCCTGAGTGGGGCTGGTCAGGGCTGCATGCGTGGGGGTGGGGAGAGCGGCTTCGTCCCGGGTCCCACACAGCTCCCTGTCCGGACTCTTCAGGGCCCTCGGAGGGGCCCGTCCAGCCAGAGGAGGGCCGCCCGGGGAGGGCCCCCACTCACCTGTTGGGGTAGGCGACGCTACACGGCGCTCTGCCCACGTAATTCTCGTTGAGCCAGCGGTTGGCCAGGGCCTGCTGGATGTTGGGCCTCTTCACGGGGTCGGGCTCCAGCAGCGAGCGCAGGAAGGTGATGGCTCCTGTGGGGACACCGGCCACACGCACGTCACAAGCTGCACCCACTGCACCGTGGAGACGAGATGCCGGGGACCGCCCCCCAAGCCACCGAGCACCGGTCCGCTCCCTGGGTCTCCAGGCGCCACAGGTCCGAGGAGTCCAAGACGCCCGCTCAGCAGGTGCACCTGGCACGTGAGAACACCAAGAGCCCCGGTGCCCTGCACTTCCCAGGGGAACCTGTGGTCCGGTCCGCGGCCACGCCCTCGGAGCGGTGTCCTGTGCCAGTCAGCCCGGAGGGGTGACAGACAGTGGAGAGAAATCGCTTCACCTCGCGGCAGGGTCTGAGCACTCGGAAAGGAGCCAGCGGGGAAGGCGTTGGAAGCCAGACCCCCTCACACGGCCCTCGCCGGGGGACACCCGTCCCACCAGGCCAGGGAGGTCCCGCTGCCCCTCTGGTCCTTCCTCCACGGCCCCCACATCGTCCCAGGCTCGGAACAGGCCGGCAGCAGCCCAGGCCCACCCAGCGCAACCAGCCAGGCCGGCGCAGCGCTGGAGACCGTTTTGTCCAAGCGTTCAGCAAGCTTGAACGGCGACTCGGGTTGGAGGAAGCCCTGGTTCGTGGGCAAAGGCCTGGCGAGCGCCGCGCTGGAACCGCACGGCCGCCCGACGGGCCTCTCGACAGCCCCTCCCGACAGGAGGAGTGCGCGCCCGCTGCCCCCACCACCGGAGTCGGGGGCCGCCTGTCGCCACCCTTCGCCCGGCCGTCTTTCCTGACCAGCACGGTGGGAGGCAGCTCTCGGGGCCGAGCGCCCCTTCCCGGTGCGCTGGCCGAGGAGGGCGCGGCACGGACACACGGACCACGAACGCGCGTCCCGCGGGCGGCCTCACGACACGGCACGTTCCAAGGCCGTGGCGCCTGCCTTTACTTCCGCCACGGGGACGGTGAGACCCTTCTGCTGCGTGGGTTGCAGGCAGATGAGGCGGTGAGGGGCTCGGAGCCCCGGTGGGAAAGGGGCGGGCGGAGGGGGGATGGCGGCGACGGGAACACTCGCTTCCGTTCTCGGAGGAGACCTCCAGCCGCCGGAGGGGGGGTCCTCACGCCCCCGCTCCCGGACCCAGCCCGCACCCGAGCGTGGCCCCGGCCGGCAGGCCCGTTACCTGTGGAGAGCTGCGCGGGGAGGGGGTTCATCTCCTTGTCCACCATCTTCTGGTACAGAGCCCTCAGGCTGAAGGGCTCCACGGTGAAAGGCAGGGTCCCCGTCAGCATGGCGTACATGTTCACGCCTCTGGAGAGAGACGCCGCAGCGTGAGGAGACCGCCCGGTGAGGCCCCCGGGGCGTGTCCGTCCTGCCCCTTCTAGAACCCTCCAGAACGCGCAGCACCCCCCACCCAGACACTGCCCAGGGGAAAGGCCGGGGCGAGGGTGAGGGTGTGGCTGTGGTGGCCTGGGTGCTGGGTGGCGGTGAGAGGAGGGGTCTGCGGGTCCCCGAGAGCTGCCCCAAGCAGGGGCACACCACGCCCCTCCCGTCTGCAAGGAAAGTCCAGACCAAGGCACTCGGAAAACATGGGGTGTGGTAGGAGCCTTGAATAAACGTAGTTTGGTCGTTCCTCGGTCATCGTCCAGGTGTGGTTTACGAGGCGGAGTGGGGGGGGGGGGGCCCGGACCTGCATGGGGCACACGTCACGGCCCCGCCAGCAGGCCTGGTGATGGCTCAGCCCGTGACACGAAGCCCCACCCAGCGCTGGACCCTGCTCTTCCCCGGACCTCCGGCCGGGCCTGGGACCAGGGGAACTCCTTGCGGGGCCGGGTGTCTCCCAGCCACTCCTGTTCGTTAGGTCACGGTTTACCACGACATTCTGCCCCCCAGCCCGGCCCAGTCTCTCAGGCGTGGGGGGAACGCCCCCCTCTGCGCGGGCTCCTCCGCTCCCCTCCACAGCCAGCCGGGAAAACGGCAGCGTCTCCTCGGAGGGCGTCTGTTCTCCCGACGGCGGAGCCCGGCACCATCGCGACGAGATCTCCTGCCGGGCCAAGTGTCTGCCTGCCAGGAGGCCTCCAACGTCCCAGAGTGCCCAGGGAGACACGCTTCAAAAACCGGCCGTCGGATTTCCAGTCACAACAAGACCCACGGGACGAGACGGGTTTCAGTGAACGAAGACCCTGGGGGCCCCGTGCCACCGAGGCGCGTCCCAATCGGAGCCCTCCCGCTGCAGGAGTGGCCACGCCCAGCCATGCCTCCTCCGTGACCGTGACCACAGACGCGGGCTGGGACGCGCCCTGCACCATCGTCACTGGCAGCCAAGTTGGGAGACACACACACACACACACACAGCCGCTGCGCAGGTTCCAGCGGCTGGCTCTCTGCCCCAGGCGGGGTACAGCTGTTGGGTTGGGGGACCAGACAAGGCCCCGCCTTCTTGGACTGGGGGGGACAGGATCAACGAGGAAACAGACAGATGAGCGCAACCCTTCTGGGTGCTGATGGATGAGGAGGGGGCAGGAAGATGCCGGACGGCCCTGCTTCGGGGTCCTGGAAAGAGGGGTGACCCGTGGTGAGGGAGGCAGACCTGGGGAGCCGGGGGCGGAGCCCGTCTGGGGGGCAGCACGGAGGACGAGGGCCAGAGACCCCCTAGGACCCTGGGGTGGCGCTGCATTCTGGGTGTGCTGGGCATAGACTCAGACATCCTCGCTTTGGAGGGTCTGGGAGATCAAGACCGGGGAACGCTAGGAGGGTCCCCAGCTGTAACGTCTGCACCCAGAGGGGTCTTGGACACACTGACTAACGGGTGGAAACCCCTGAGCACCCCACAGCGCTGTTGTTGGGGACCACGAGCAGCCGCTGGCCCCGCTGTCTCCAGCCTCCAGTGCAGCGGCTCCATTCAGTGCGACCCCATGCGTGAGGGGGGCTTCCCATCACAGGGGGTGGGGGGCGACACCAGGTGATCCTGCCGGACTCACCTGTCGTGCCTCCGTCGTGGCCTCAAGTCCGTCCCTCACGCTGCCGAGGCTGGGACGTGCCCTGCGCTGCCTCCCCAGGAAGGTGCGCCCACCCCACACAGCGTCTCTGGAACCGAGGCGCCTGGGCACATCCCAGGGGCTCTCAGCTCCACCTTCCCTCCCCTCCTTGGTAACTCGGGGAGCAAAGCTTCAGGAGCAAAGCCGCACCGGACCCCCGGACGCCCGCACAACCTCGTGCACCCCCACGTCGCATCCTGCTTCTTCCCGTTTCACCGCCCACACCTTTTGCCAAAACATATCACGTCCCGAGCTAATGAGGGAGGAGGGGAGGGGTGGCCTGTCAGTGAGGTCCGTCCAGGTGCTTCTCTCCGTGGGGAGGAACGGGGAGCCCCATGGTGGTTCCACAGTGTGGTCTGCAGGCAGCGCACCGGGAGCCTCTCGGGAACGCAAGCCCCCGGGCCCACCCGGGCCTGCCGACGCCAGAGCTCGGGGCCGGGCCGAGAGCCCACTCACAGCCCGGCGGGAGCTTCGGCCACGCACCAGCGTGCGAGCCACCGGGAGGGGGACGAGGGTGAGTGGTCCCAGGCCGCCCAGCCGGAACCCACGGCCCGGCAGCGAGGACCGCACCCAGGCTGCGCACAGCCCCCAGCTCTGACGGGCGGAGCCGGGGCGGGCGGCCACCGCGGCCCCTCGGAGCACCCGGGGGCCCTTTCAGACCCGGTTGTCGTTAACTCGTAAGTGGTTTTGGGTTCGTGTCTGCACAGAGCCGTAAATACAAGCAGTTTAATTTTATGTTCGTGAACATCAAATAAAACCTAAATAAAAATAACGAGGGAAGGAGAGGGGTTACCCAGAATGCTTCTCCTCTACAAGAAGGCGGCCGCACGCTGTTTGAAGAACACTGACCTATGACCTTTCTGTTCCTTTTCACCGTTTGAGAGGCCGGCCCGGAAAGTCACAGAGGGGGAGGGGTTGGGGTGACGCGGCTGGTGGGGGGTGGGGGGCCAAGCGGGGGGAGCCAGCACGGTGTGCTCCAGAGTGGGTCCCCGACCTTCTCTGCACAGGGCCCCGCAGAAGGGAGGACTGCCCAAGTGTGCTTGGTGGGGCTGGGCCGTGGGCGCGATAATTTCTTGTTTTAATGCGAACATGTCACCTACGGGACCCCGTGGCGTGCCTGCGTGGGATGTTGTTATGTTACAGAATGGCATGCTCATGGTTTTGTAATGAAAGATTTTGTAGTCAAAGGGGAGTCATTTGTGCCGGACGCCGCATTTCCATTTATCTTCAGGGGACACGGGGGTCCCTGCCACAGGCGCAGAACGCAGCAGGGACACTACGGAAGGTGGCCGTCACGCCACAGCGGCAGATACCAGGCAGGGACCTGGCAGGGCCACCTCTAAACCCTGCGGGAAAGTGTCCCTTCAGGGCGTCCTCGAGGCAGGACACTCTCGTCTCCCCGTCACCCGCCAGCTGCAGAAGTGGACAGAAAGCTCAATCGCCTGCCAAGCCCGCCGTCCGGCGGGGACCACACACACAGGCAGCAGGTGCCCGTCCTAATGGTGCCAGAACCGCTGTGGGCTGACCGGGACCCAGGCTGGTTTCCATGGTAACTCCCACTGGGAATTTGACCAAACGGACTCCAGGATTCCGTTCCCTGGGAGGAGTCTGTCACCAAGCAGAAGGGTCACAGAACCCTAAGGAGCGCCTGCCCCCTCGCTCCTGGGGCCTCTGGTCCACAAAACTCGGACAGCAACCTTGCTCGCCGAAGAAGACGCAGGGACAAGGCCGTGGGCAGCACTCTGCGGGCAGGCGGAGGGTCTGGTGAGCCCCTCGCACGGGTGGGCAGGCGGGCAGGGTCCCCAAACACTGCCCCCGTGTGCCAGACGCAGCGGAGAGGACCTCGCGCCGACCCCTGGCTTCTGTGTGTGGTTCCTCGAGAAAGAAATTGCCTCGGAAAACCTTGAAACGACCCTGCACCTGAAGCAGCGCCGAGTCCCCACACCAGTGCTGGGGGGGCGGGGCCCGAGAGCGGGAGGAGCTCCGTCCACACGGAACACCCCAGGCGGCATGACTGCCCCTTGACTCACCTGTTCTCAAAGGAGTTGTTTTTTATGGATTGTAAGACTTTTTCCCCCTTCCTTTCTTCCTTCCCCTCTGCTACTTTAAATGCAGGTGCCAACCACAAACACAGTGAGTCTTAGATTTTGGAACTGAAAAGTCTCAGAAGCCAAAACCAGCTTCTCTCTTGAAAGTCAAAAGCCCTAAATGACCCAAAAGGAGGCCCAGGTGCCCCCTTTCCACCTCCTCCTCCTGCCACCCCCCGTTTTGAGGGGTCTGCACGTCCTGCCATGCGTCACCCTTTCACAGAAGCAGAGTCGGGCCCCGGACCAAATGTCCCTCCTCCATTACCAGCCAGGTCTGGATGGACTCCTCTCGGCCAACTGGTCTACCCAAAGGACCGCCCTGGGGCAGAGCGCCCCACGAAGGGAAGCAGATTCGGCAAGGCCGGGAGGGGGTCTGAGCGCCATCCCCACGAGCACCGGGCCTCACGCAGACGCTTCACCCACCCCAGGGCCCCCGACACAGCCACGAGCAGCTGTGGTTGTGGTTCCCTACCTTTCAGGGCCAGAACTCTCAATGTCCCTCTTCCTTACCCCGAGAGAGACACCGATGTTCTCAACGAGCTCGATAACGTTCTGAAAATGAAGTTAATTTTGATTCTTTTCATTTAAAAGGTGTATCTGCATTAAAGTTTTTTTAACTACCGCGTACGCCACTCCGAGGAGAAGTCGGTTAGCAATAAAAAAGGTTCACTGCACCAGAGTGAACATTTTTGTTTTTGTATCCGAAAGCTCCACGCTGACTGGAGATGCAGGTGTAAATATTTCACGCATCTGGACGAGAGGAAGGGGGTGAACGATTTTAAAGGTGTTCGTACGTGGTCCACAGGTGAAAATAACGACCTTGGAAAACGGTGGAGCCCCCCAAGGTGCAGGCACCGCCTTCCATTCCCCTGGGTGGTCCGGGGCCACCGCAGGAGGGGAACCGGGGCCCCGGTCTCGGGGAAGAGCCTCCTCTCCCAGGGACTAGCCGGCTCTGCCCCTCACTCAGGCTCAGGTCCCCGGGAAAGGCCCGTCTGTCCGCCGAGGGCCCAGCCCTCGGGAGCGGGGCGCTCGCTTTCGGTTCGGGAAACGAACTCTTCACTGTGGTTGTTTCCGAGCAGGAAAAGGGGACGTTTGGTGACAACAGTGTCTGACCGGAGAGAGAACCGGCTCCGCGTCCCCCGTCTTCCCAGCAGCCTTTGACGTACATTACACTCTCGCCGGGTGTTCCGTGCCCAGCGCTGGCGGCCGAGGCGAGGGCCCCAAACAGAGACCGACCTCGTCTCAGACACAGCCTCCCAAAACAAAGCGCGGAAAATCAATCCCCGCCGCAGGCTCTGAAGCGTCCCGTTTTCTCCGAGATTAAGAGCAGTGGTGGCCTCCCCGCCTTCGCCAGGAGGGCCCCTCTGCTCCTCTGCCCGGCGAACTCCACCTGGACCCGCAGGTGCGGGCTGTGCTGGCCTTGGATGCCCTCCCGACCCGACCCGACCCGGATGGCAGGCCTGGGTGTCCCCGCACTGTGTTCCCCGGCTGCCCCGTGTGCTCACGGGGAGACATGTGGGTAAGCCCGTGGCTTCGGCGGTCCGGGCTGCCGCAACAAGTACCCCGGGCAGGGTGGCTTCACCGACAGGCCTGTATGCCCCGCAGTGCCGGAGCCGGGCATCCCAGGTCAGGAGGAGAGCTGTCCCCCTGGCTCACGGACTGTGTGACGGTGTCTCACGTGTTGTAGGGAGCGAGCTCTCTGCACTCTCTTCTGAGAAGGACAGTAATCTCGCCCCCGGGTTCCACGTGCGCAGCCTCACCTAACCCCACCTAACCCCACCTAACCCGCCAAGGCCCCCCTCCAAACACCGCCACGCTGGGGGTCAGGACCTCGCTCTATCAGGCTTCATCACAGCGCTACGTAGACCTGACCTAGGCCGAGCCTGCGACCTGGGCGCGGGTCACGCAGCACCCCGCCCCCTCTGAGGAGTGTTCCGGGGGCGGCGGGCAGGTTGCTCCAGGGAGAGCTCACTCACAGATGGACCCACACACGGAGCTTCGGGCTGAGCAAAGGGAGTGTCTCCAGCTCAACTTCCCACCGAGGGGCATGGGGACAGGGACCGGGGGACAGGGACTGGGGGCACCGGGACAGACCGGGGGCTGCCGTGTCTGGTCCACCCAGAGGGAGGTCCCGCCCGGGCCTCCAGAGCCACGCCGCCACCACCGTCGGCTTAGGGCCGGCACCTGTGCGGCGCAGCACCATCCAGCGAAGCCTCTGGAGTGTGCTACGTGGAGGCACCAGGCCCAGGAGCAGGGCCTGCTGGGCGCTTTGTGGACGGCCTTCTCGGCGTATGTGCTTCGTGGGGGAAACGCCAGCAAACAGGACGTTAGCTAACAAGCGTCCAGCGGCCCCCGCCCAGCCCAAGCAGGCCGGCAGCCAGGGAGGAGGGAGGCGTGTCCTGGCCCCCTGGCCCTGGGCTGTGTCCACCCTTCCTGCACCTGCGTCCCCCTTCTCGCCCCCACCGTTTCTGGGTGCGGTCTCTGCTCCCGGGTCACAGCGGGTGGCAACAGACCCGCCCCCGAAACGGAGAAGCAGGGCGTCCGTGGTCACTGAAGGGGGTCCCTTCCCCGTCCAAGGACTCGGCCGAGGGGCTGAGCCAGAAGCGGACCCTCAGGCAGCACTGACCCATGTTCGGGGTGAGCGGCTCCCTCCCACCCACCGTGGCCCAGAGGGGACGGGAGCCCCACTGGCTGCCCGGCCCAGGCCGCTCCCACGGCCGTGACAGGCCCGGGACTCCCCCCTCCTACCTCACCCCCAGGCCTGAGGACACGCCGGCCCCAGCAGGGACGGCTGGAGAGATTCCCCTTCCACAGGCTGAGCCCCGTCGTCACCATGACGACCGGTGACCACACGGTGTTACTGCTCAGTCCCCTGGAGAGCCAGACCCCAGGGGCAAACCGGCGCCTGCTCTCCGGGCCCCAGTCTCCGCTCCCCTTCGGTCACCGTGTCCCCGCCCCCTTCCCTGTCACCGCACGTGCACGACACCCCTGAGTCTCTTGGTCTCTCAGGCTCCCCACTCTCCACCGCCTTATTTCCTCATTTTTTTGGTGCAAAATCTGTCCCTTTCAGAGCTTCCCACTCAGCATAAATGGGTGCACTGTTAAGGGAAGAACATCTGTGTTCATCTGGCCCACAAGCACGGGCCAAGGGGAGCCCCATGCCCCACACTTGCAGGAGGCGCGAGCGCCAGAGGGGACCAAGAGCGCGTTTCATTTCCTGTCCCGGCGCTGCTGGGCTGGTGGCCGCCGGGGGCTGGGTCGGGGGGACGAGGAGGCCCCCTGGTGCCCGTCTGGAGTCTGTGGTCAGCAGCTCGGCCGGGTCACCAGGGCCCCCCGCAGCTGCTCCCTGCCAGCAACCCCACGGGTCACTGGCAGCCCAGCCACACCTCCCGTGGGGGGCGGTGAGGGGGCAGAGCTGGCCTGGGCAGGGCGAGGGGCACGAGGCTGACCGCTGTGTCCTCCTCCGGCTGCCCAGCCCCTGTCCCCTCTGTCTGTGTCCTGGGGGTCAGGGGTCGGCGATGGGAGCGGGGTCCTGACTAATGTGCCCCTTGCTGATAGGCTGGACTTTCCGGGGTAGGGGGGAGGTTCGGGGAATTCCGTGGCCCCCAAACCCGACTCCCACGTCCACGTCCTCTCTCCCCGACGTCCACCGGCACCGCGGGGCTCCTCCCACTTGTGGAGCCCTGCGCCGGCCACGCGCCTCAGTCGCTTCCTCTGCCAACTGCAGCTCCGACCCTGTCCTTCTGCTCGCCTGGGCGACAGGCCTGTCCCCCCTCCTCTGTCTCTCCCTCCTCCCCACCTGCCTTTCTCCCTCCCTCTCTGGCCTGGGCTCTGTGCCAGGGGCCGAAGAATCCCCAGAACGACCTGGGTGGTCCCTGCCCCTCAACCTGCAGCTGGAGGGGTCCCAGCAGGTGAGCAGTGACCACAGGTGAGGGCCGGGAGGGCAGCGATCAGGGACGTGAGGAGACCAGGGAGGCCGCCAAGCCAGCCTGCAGGAGGCAGGAGGGCCCAGGGCAACTGGCCCCCAGGAAACCCCAGGGAAAGGGAACACCTCTGGCCGGAGGGCTGTGCGGAGGGCTGTGAGGAGGGAGGGGGCGGGAGACCGGAGTCAGCTGGAGGACGGTGGGGGGTGGGGCCGGGGACAGTGGCCTCTGACGAGCCCCGCGGCCCGAGCAAGGGCGCACACACCACGGTCAAGACCCGGTCCTCCATCTGGAGACCCTGGAGACCGCCAGCTGCCCGCCCCCCCCACAGCCCCGTGACCTTGAGACACTTCATCAGTCCCTCGCACGATCGGTGTCTTCCTCCGAGAAGCGGGGCTGACGGAGAGCCCAGCCTCCCCAGGTCACCGTGGACAGTGAACAGCACAGGGCCTGCCAGACGCCAGGCCGCGGCGAGCTCCGGCTTTCCCACCACCCGGACACAGCGCGGCGGCGTGGGAGACGCCGGGGAGCTCCAGGAATGTTCTGGAACAGCTCACCCTTGGTTCCCATCAGCCCCTCTCATCTCCAGCCTCCGCATCGTCGGCAGCAGCCCCCCGCTCTGTCTGTCTGAAGCCACTTCCCCAGAGTGAGGGGTCTACTCCCCGGGCCACCGACATGTGAAGCCGGGGGGACTGTGAGGGACCTGGGTCCCGGGAGGAACCAGGGCCCCAGTGGGCACCCCGCCCCGTGGTGGACAGTGGTCGGCTGGCCAGTCGGAGGTCCCCCCTCAGGCAGCGTCGGGGAGTCAGACCCAGAGGGCCGACGGGCGAGGACGTGCTGAGCTCCGAGGCGCCAGAGGGACGCGAGACGGCGAGGAGACGGAGTGGGGGCGGGGTGGGGGGGGACCCCTGAGACAGGGACGCAGAGACGGCCCCCGCAGGGCGGCCCTGGGGGAAAACTGGAATGGGGGGCCGGACAGGCCACGCGGAGAGCTGGGGTCGCCTGCGGGGCCAGGGAGCAGGTGTGCAGAGCCCGGCGACGGGGTGACGGGGCGACGGGACGGAGGCCAGGAGGCCAGGAGGCCAGCGCAGCTGCGGGCCGTGAGCGCTGCGCGGGTGGGGGGCGGGGCGGGCGCCGGGGCAGACGGGCCCTGCCGGCAGCCTGTGTGGCCCCGGGCCCCCGTCACCGGCACGGGCTGAGTGTGGGCGGGTGCTGGTGGGGGAACCACGGGGGGGTGTTAAGCAGCAGAAAGACGTGAGTTCCGCGAGTGCAGGGCTTGTGCTCTTGCCTCCGCGGCACCTGGACGGGTGTCGGGAACGGCCTCTCCAGCAGTGTGGGGGGGGGCCCCGGAGGGAGAGGGGGGAGGCGGGGCCCCGAGAATCAGTCACTCAGCACCCGTGCCAGCGAGTCCCACCTGAAACCTCCCAGCACACACCCCAGCGCCACCGCCGGGGGGAGCGGCGGCCGGGCCGAGGCGGGGGTGGGGAAGGGGGGAGGGGTGGGGGGGGCCCTGTTTCACAAGCTCGGCAACTCACATGGACCAGACGTCGATTTTGGGGCCGTACTTCTTCCTGGCCAGCAGCTCGGGCGCGGCGTAGGCGGGGCTGCCGCACTGCGTGCTGAACGGGTCGGAGTGGCCCAGGATCCCCGCACAGTTGCTCAGCCCGAAGTCTGCGAAGAGGGGGAAAGACAGCACTTCACGTTAGCACGCGGCGGGCTCAGGGCGGGGGGGGGGGGCGGGGAGGGCGGCAGGAAGGGAAACCTTCTCCGGCTCACGCCTCGCTGAGCGTCCGAAAGGAAGCCCGTCGGCGGCAGCGGCCAGCGCTGACCTCTGGACGCGCGTCTCCAGCTGGCTGTGCCGGAGACATTTTCTCTCGGGCCTCCCTACAAAACCCCTGCAGCTCGAGCTCGAAGGACGTGGAACCGAAACGAACTTCTAGCAAGTCTCAGAATGAGTCACCCATCCAGGAAAGGGAGCCGCTCTGCTTTCTAGGATGGAGGAGGAAGCGAGGCCATGCAGGGGGCCCCTGGAGTCCCGCTCCCGCTCCCCGTGGCCCCTGGGGAGCGGCGGGAGGAGGACTGAGTGTCTCTGGCCGGTGTCAGCATCACCCCGCGTGACACGCGACCCCACCATGTAGAGACAACTACTCTGGCCGAGTGTTTTCATTTCCAGCGAGTCTCCCGACAACGCTCCCGAAGCAGGCAGAGACAGATGGTGCCCCGCGCGGCAGAACGCCACATGCCCGGTGACGCAGACAGCGCCGATGCCAGCTGCAAAAATAACGCCGGTGGGGAGAGCGGCGAGGGCTAGACCGAGGCCCCTCACGGCGCCCCTTTGCTCCTGGACCAGCAGTGAGGCACCCGGGAGAGGCGAGAGGAGGACCCCCCCTAGAGCACCCTCGGTCCTTGTGCCTTTGGGGCCGCATCTGCCTCTGACCGTGAAGGCCGGTGACCAGAGAGCGGTGAGTGTCCGGCCCTCGTCCGACGGCCGTCCTCGGTCTTTGCTGAGCTCAGACCCGGGCCGGACCGCGGTTCCTCCTCCATCGTCGATGGGGACTCGGCGGGTCTCGCCCCCACACGGAGGACCGCCCGCCCGCAGGGCTCGGGCGGGCGGGGCTGGGGTCAGGGGCCGACCAGCTCCAGGGCTGGGACGAAGCCCTCGCACCTTCTCGCCGGGCGGCACGCACGCACGTCTAACGCCACCGCTGCGTTCTCTCCCGGCCTCTAGCACGTCTCCACCCGCCACGAGCGTGACCACCGGCACGCTCCGGAAAGGAGACACGCGGGTGAGTCCATGAGGCTGCCACACGCCGCCGTGCGTCCAGACGCTTCAGTGCCGCTCCCGGGGCTCAGTGCGGTGAGACGCTCGGCGGAGGCGGCTTTCCAAACCCCGTCTGGGCAGGGCCCCGAAAACTCCCCCGGGCTCTCGGAGCCGCCTCCTCCTCCTCGGGGCTGCAGACGAAGCCTCGGAACCCACGAGGGGCCGGCAGGCCCACCGCCGAGCCGTGGGTGCGTCCACACACTGAACCCAGCTTCTGTTTGCTTAGGATTCCCTCTGGATTCTCGCAGCCTCGCCGCCCCTTCTCGCCCTCGGCTCCCCGCCCCTCCAGCTGCACCCGCACCCAGCCTGCACCTGCGCCCCAGGGGGCCCTCGGGGCGGCTCTCACCCCCGGCTGGGTGGGGTCCCTGCTCGAAGGGATCTCAGGGCCCGGGTGACGGAGGCAAAGGCAAGGCGGGGGCGTGGCTACTCTTGTAAGAAGGAAACTCATGCTGAGCTTTGCACTGGACGCCGTGGAGATGCTCTCAGTTTGAACATCGACCTGAAGGAACTTTAACGGACGACGGAGGCCGGAGGGCGCCCGCTCTGGGGAAGGGCAGCCCCGGGAGTCAGTCAGGGCCACCTCCGGCCTGGGCAGCGTTCCCGGGGCCGTTTCCTGGGCCGCCCCCCTCCTGGGGCCCCAGCAGACGCAGCTCTCGGCTTCTGAGATCAAAACAAGAGTCCAGCCTCTGTCCCTCACCTCCCCGGGGGCTCCTTCGGATAACTGCACGGAGCGCCCCCACTCCGTGCACGTCCCCTGCGGGGGTCTGCCGAGACGTGCCTGACAGCACACAGGGCCGCCCGAGAGATGAGAGGCGCCGCGGTTCCCAGGCGAGAGCGTGGGAACACAGTCCTGCCTTATCTCCAGCGCAGTTCCAGGAAGATAAACTCTCAAGGGGCCGGGGCGTGGCGGGGATAAAAGGTGCAGTTCAAGCGGCTGATGCCGATCCAGTGGGAAGGGTTTCACTCCAAATTTCCCGCAGAGAAATACGCAGTGCGTGCCCCGTTCATCGCGGTAATTATTCACGTGTCAGGGAGGCGCCTGCAATCGGGATGTGACGCAGGAGAGCAGCTCCCAGCAAGGTCCCGGGTGGGCGTCCGTCGGAGCGGGGGACCCTCGCGTCGGCTGTCCCCAGGCCTCTGAACGCTGCCGGGGGTGGGGTCTCCAAGAGCTCCCGTGAGAGCGCCGTGGGAATCCCAGGTGCGGCGCCATCCCGGGTTGCACGCCGAGGCCGCACTCGGCGGTCAGATGTCAGCGGCTTTGTCGCGGAAGGAAACGATCCTGACGACGGAACCAAGTCTCACCCCCGGTGAGCGCCGGTTTATGTGAAGCAGGGCTTCGGTGAGTCTGTTTAAATCAAACATTTCGAAGAAAGGGAAGCTGTGAAGAAGCAGTAACCGCCACACTCGACCTCTGGAAAACGACGAGGCGAGGTTCCGTGGAAGGAAAGGTTCAAAGGGCTTTCGAGCTGCAGAGAGACGGCCGCAGAGACACGTGACCCAGATCACCCCACCACCCGGGGCAGAGACACCTGAGGCCCTGGGCACGGCTCCCCTCCTGCCCTGCCCTTCCCGGCCCCTTGCTGGCCCCACCGTGTGAGGAAAAAAAAGGAGGAAATGCAGACTCAGCCGAGTGAACCAGGTGCCGCTGGGGCGGAGCGGCTCCTTCCCCTGCGGAGAGCTGGGTCCTCCGTGTCCCCGGCTCCCGGGAGCCGTCAGGGGCAGGGCCGGTGCTCAGACCCGGGGACACCCGGTTCCCGGCAGCACCCCTGGGGCCCGAGGCTGGGCCGCCCCGCAGAGGGGCGACGGTGTCCGAACAGCAAGGGTCCCAGTCTGTGGCTGTCTGACCACACCTGAGACTGACATGGAATGACAGTAACGAAACTGCACCTGAGCAAATATTCGAAAAAAAGAAAGAAATCGAAAGCATGATCCACAAAAGAGGAACGCCCGGCTCCTGGCGTCCGGAGGGCCACCGCCCCACGCGCACCGCGGGCAGCGAGCGGGGCTCCGGTCCAGGGCCCTCGGTCCTTCGTCTTCTGTGACAGGTGGGTCACGCGGCTGGTCCGTGAGCACCGGAGAAGGGCGTCCACGCTTACAGTCACCGGTTCCTCCAGAACCTTCCGAGCAGCACTGCACGCCCCCGTTCACCCTGCAGCGCCCGCCTGCCGGTCCGGCTTTCCAGATGCTCCTCCAGGGCTCTCGCAGGGGTGGGGGCGGGAGGGGAGGCCGACAGGGGAGCAAAGGAAACAGTCTCCGCTCCGAGGCCCCAGGCTGGGGACCGCTCGGGGACCGCCCGGGGTCCGCACTGGGCCGAGCGCCGGCCTCGGGCTCGACCGGACGGGAACGCACACCCAGCCTTCCTGCAGCCTGTTCACCCACAGTCTCTGCTGCCGGAGGGGACTGGCCCCTGTCACCCCCACGTTTCCTGAAGGCCGGTTACCGGTCAGCCTGCTAGGCCCCCCCGCAAACCACCTCCTGTCTCCACGTCTCAGCCCCACCAGGTCGAGCCCCAGTTTCCTGCCGCAGATCTGGAACCAGGACCGTCGGGCCCTCAGCCTGGTTTACAGCAGCTGGAGTCAGCCCTCAGGACAACGTGCAAAGGTCGAGCAACCTGACACAGAGAAAATTCTCTGAGTTCTTCAAGCGTCTTCTAAGGATACATTCTTTAAAATCTCTGGGGGAGCCCTGGCTGGTGTAGCTCAGTAGATTGAGTGCTGGCCTGTGAATCAAAGGGTAGCCGGTTCGATTCCCAGTCAGGGCCCATGCCTGGGCTGCAGGCCAGGTCCCCAGTAGGGGGCGCACAAGAGGCAACCACACACTGATGTTTCCCCTCTCTTTCTCCTTCCCTTCCCCTCTCTAAATAAAATCTTTAAAAACAAAACAAAATCTTTCAGGGAAAAAGTTGGCTTCCTCCTCATTGCCAACCTTCTAATAATGGGAGTGTTCACTGCCGCCTGTCACTGGGGCTTCAGGGCCCGGCCGCGGGCCTGCAGCCCCCGCAGCCCTGCCTGCGGCTGGGCTGGGAGCCGACTGCGGTTTCGGAGGATCTGATCTCTCATTCGAATGACGGGTTTCGGAGTCTTGAAATGGGCTCTAGTGTCTGCCAGACACAATTTCCTTCTTGAGCACAACAGCTGAATTCGCCAAGCCCTGCTGGTCCTTCCCTCTTCCCCCGATAGAAGGCCTTTCTGAAGCCAGTGGGGGCGGGGGAGGAGGAACTCCCTGCCCTTGGGGTGGAGAAAGGAAGAAACGAGCCGCCCAGCAGCCGGGAGCGGAAGGGGCGCCCCAGCCTGGCCCGAGAGCCGCCACGGGGGCAGGCGGAGACGGGTCTGCTGGAAGGGCGTGGGCCCGCCCGCTCACGGCCCCTGACCCTCGCCCCGGGTCCGACCCACTCCCTCCCGGAACCCCCTTCTGGTCCCCACAAGCCTCGCTGGGGCCCTGGGGGGTGGGGGGGGTTCTCCCTGCGGAGCCGCCCTGTGCCGCGGGGCTGGGGGGACCGGACCCAACAGACAGGACACCGCGCGCCTCCGGTTCCGGTCCCCCCAGCGCGCACCGAGAAGTGGGGCGCGGCGGAGCCACGGCAGCACTTCCCGACCGGACGATGGCGGCCACTGTTTTTAAAAGGGTTTCCAGTTAATACAAATTTTAAAAAAAAACCTATAAAAGCTCAGATCCGTGTTGAGCTGGGGAGCACCTGAAGCCTGAACAGCCCAAATATTTATTTCTTTCGGGCTGTGAAGTCCATGTTGTGGTCGCTTCACAGCGCCTCACCTTCCTACTTAGGCTTACATTGTTTTTTAAGTTGAATTTCACTTTCGAAACCATGACCACACGTTGGCGATAAAGGACGTCCCCTAGCAATGCCGTCTGGGGACTGAGAACAGGCCAGGGACAATTTTCTAAGCCGGTTATCCGGGAACAAAGGAGAGACGAGGCACAGAACAGCACTTAAAGGATAATCTTCTTTAAGGAAAAAAAAAAAAAAACTCATACCGATCAGCTTGATGTTGTTGTCTTCGTCCAGCAGCAGGTTTTCTATCTTCAAGTCCCTGAAACACACAAAACCGCACAGAGCGTCAGGGGGCATCCGAGCCACGACACGACGTTCCGCTTCTGCGGGGAAGCAGAGGGTCCGAGAGCCCCTCTGACGCCGCCCACAGAGCCTTCCGCCAGAACGCCACCGTCGGACAGTAAACATTTACAGGGCGTGACAGAGGTGGCTGCTAGAGGGTTTCAGAGAGGACGAGGCCCGTTGAACACAGAAGTTTCCGGAAGAAGCAGGACGGACGCTGAAACCCAGGCGTGAACCAGAACCGTTGGGGGCAACAGCGCGGCCACACGCTGGGGAGACGCCGGGCGACCCCTGCCAGGGGGGCGGCCACAGACTCGGGAAGCAGCTTTAACGGAACCAGACACAGGAAAACTCTGCCAGTCCTACAGCCTCTCCACCTGGAGGCCAAACGGGCAGCTGCCGGTGAGTTCATCTTTCCACCGGGCAGGTGCTGTGGGGGGCAGAAACACGGGGCCCTCGGACGCCAGGGCCCTGACCCCTGGTGCTACACCGGAGCACGGGCTCACCTCACAGGACCGCCGTGCGCACACGGAACAAAGACCACTCTCCAGAGGACGGGAGCCCTTGATAACAGGCACAGGGGGCACCCGGGCCGTGGGAAGGGGGAAGGGCGCAGGGTCAGGCTGAGTGCGAGGGGCCCCTGGAGTCTGCGCTGAGGACCGGGGCTCCCAGGGGGCAGGAGCGGGCCCACCCCGCCCACCTCGGCACGGCCAGGGGCTCGCTGAGTCCCGGGGAACCTGCGCCAGCAAAGGGACCGCCCGGGGTGTCCGGAGGGAGGGGAATGAGGGCAGGAGCAGAGACACTCGGTCATCAAAACCGTCCAGGTCGACCACTCCCAGCATCTCAAACGGCAGCCTGCCGACTCGGACGCCCGTGACCGCCACGTACGGGGAGTGTCCCTCCCTCCCGCACCCGCTCCGGACGCTCTGCCCACCGGTGTTTCCAGACACAGCGCCCCTGGGCCGGCTCCCACTTTCCCACCTGGGGACAGGGACGCGGGCGGAAGAGTCATTTTTTCCCTCCTGATCTCTCGCGTGAGGACGAGAAGAGTGCGATCGTGATACACGAACGTGGGGACAGATGACACCACGCCAGAGTCCTGAGGCGTTTTAGGGGACAGTGGGCAGGCCCGCGGCACCGGGTCAGGGGCCCGTGTCCCAGGGACAGTCGCTCACCTCCCCACCCGGCACCGCCCGCCCACCCGTTTTCCGGGAGAATCTGGACTCGGTCCCAGTGTTTCCGTGCTGCCAGCAGATGCACAACCAAAACGGTTACAGTCACTGCACCGAGGGGGTTAGCCTGCACCTGCGGGCTTCCTGCTTTCAGACTTGGGTCGTGGCTCAGCCTCGAAGGGACCGAAGGGACGTGCACCCGCCCGGGAGAGTGCGGACAGGACAGCGAGGAGGAGAGACGGCCGTGTGGGGCCACCCCAGGAGGAGGCGGTGGGGCGCCCGCTCGCCCGGGGACCACCAGGGCAGCGGGCTGAGATGGGAGAGGAGTAGGGAGTCAGGCACTGAGAAAAGGTGAGCTCTCACGAGCGCCCGACGGATTTCAAAGCTGCACAGTGGCTGTAGCCTTGGGGCCGGACACGCGGGTGGGAAGGGAGCAGGCGTTGGGACGCACGGCCGCAGCACGGACATGCCTCCTCCCCAACCCCAGTGCACACGCGAGGAGGGGGGAGCGGTGTGTCTCCACGCCAACCCCGACGAAACAGCACGCAGAGTCCGTTAGGGCTGCCACGGCCCTTTGAAGGCACTGCATGTGTCCCCGTGAGGGTGACCCCAAAGGTAAGGGGGTCCTCCCCGTTTTTCCAATGGGACAGACAAAAGTACTTGGAAAACACAAATATATAATCTTTAAAAAACGCAAGGAAATTATCCAATGACTACATGTGCTCTTTACCACGGAGCCGTACCATCCTGTTTAAGAGCATACACGCCAACATCAATGTCATTAGTTTTAGAAACGTCATTCCCACACCCTCAGCTCTTACGACAGGAATCACTGACACCTGTCCCGAGCAGCACCGGGACCACAGAGACACGGGACAAGACGTTGACGTTGACCGGGTGTGGGTGACAGCGCTTTGTGAATCTCCGCCGGATGCGACTGCCGGAACTCTTAACCCAAGCCACTTAAAGAGCAAGCGCCCATTTAAAATCTTCATGAGGGAGCCACTCGGGGATGGTTTCAGGGTGGTCTCACAAACCCTCGCCACGGGGGGACCTCTGGGAGCTACGACAAAACCACGGTAAAAGGTCTCCCTCCCTTTCTACCGGTTCCCTTGGGGGGCGCCCGGAAGCACCCAGAGTCGTCAGTGAGTCCAGGGGAGCGGGCTGCGTCTTCTCCGGCTGGTGTGTGTGTTGCTGGAGGCGGAGTCCCTGAGACTGCGCCCCGTCCAGCGAGACACTTGGCAAGGACTCGGGGAGGCCCGTCCTCCCTTCTGAAGACCCTCAGGACACACGGCCGCCCTGACCTTCTGTTCACGCGTGTGCAGCATTCCCGGCCCACGCGTGCGCTCACCAGCCGCGGCCCCGGAACACCGGTCACAAAGCCGCGGCACTGTTCAAATCTAAAGGAAGGCCGCAGCTTGCTCCCGGCAAATTGAACCTCCTTCTCCAGCAAGAATGGAAGCCACGCTAAGACATCAAAGGGGGGATTTAGTTTAGAACAAACACTGCGGAGAGCAACAGCTTTAAAGAACGAGGCCAGAAGAAGCAACCGCCGGGGAGAGTGGAAGGAGCTGGGCAGCGCTGGGGCCGCGCCGGCCTGGGAACAGCCGCCGTGCGGAGAGGAAGGGCGAAGACGCAACTCGGGAAGGAAGAGGAACGGCCGGAGGGGGAAACCGGGGGAACGGGAGGAGGCACAAACATGTAATTATCCGGCAAACCAAGAAAAATGAAACCCTTTGAAGTCACTCTCTTCCCACGCAGGGCCTCCCACGGGGACGCGCCCCAGCCCCGAGCGAACCCGGTTCTGGGCCCGCTTGTCACCTTCCCGTGGGGGTTCCTCCAGGGAACCGCACCGCCCGCTCACTGCCGGTTACGGGCGCGGGCAGCCGCACCGGCCTCGGTCCGGGTGGGCACACCGACTGCCTGAGGCAGCGGAAGGGTCCCCCTCGGCGGCTTCGCCTGTGTCCGCCTCCCGCCCGGCTTCTGAGAGGCAGCCAGAAGGAGGGGGGAGAACGCTAACCCTCTGCCCCTTTAGGAAAACAGGCTCTCAAGTCCTGTTTTTAAACACAGCTTTCCCGCCGGCATTTACCGCCGCGCGATCGCCAGGCAGGGACGCCGACGTTTACAGCGGCCGCGTGCCGTCGCCAAAACCGGGGGGCACCGGGGGCCTCCAGTGGGTGAGGGACGGGTGGACACACGGGTGGGGGGCGCCGGGCAGTGGAGGGTTACTACTTCTCCGTGAGCAGAAGGAACGAGCTCTCGGGTCCTAGAAAGACCCGGAGGAACCTTCCACACGTGTGTCCAAGGGGAAGAAGGTGGTCTGAAGAGAGGGCAGACTGCATGGTTCCAAGCACGTGACCTTCCAGAAAAGGCAGAACCACGGACAGTGAAAAAGGTCGGCGGCCGCCAGAGGTTCCGGGAGGAGGGAGGGGGAGGGGCGGAGCTCCTTCTTCTCTGCGGGTGGAATCGGCCCCGACGACGCTGCAGTGGCCACCACATGGCATCGTGACTTGTCGAAACCTACAGAAATCACAACTCAGAGCACCCTGCTGCGCCCGTCCCCTGGCGAGCCCGACGCAACGCAGGGACCCTAGTCCCTGACCACGTCCCCGGGTCGGCTCATCGGCGGTCACGCGTGTGCCACACTCTCCCAGATGTTAGAAACAGGAAAATCGACGCAGACGGGGTGGGGAAGGACGGGGGCTCTTGTGGCTTCCGCACCAAACCTAAAACCGTCCTGAAGATACAGCCTGTTGATTTTTTAAAAGTAGACTGAGCATCTCTCCCTGTCCCGCGGGCTGACCACCAGGATCGGCACGGCCACAGCCACGCGCCTCACGTAGGACGTTCGCAGCGGAGCCTCCCCACCGCCTGAAATTTACCGCCAGCCCCTCAGCACCGTGGGCTCCCCGGGTCCATGGCCCAGCCCCTCGGCAGTGACCGAAGAGGCCGAGACGGACCCCAGAGGCCACCGAATGGAGAGGCTCCTCGGGGATGACGAGGAAGATGAATTTATTCGGAAGGTTTCTGTGTGAGTGTGTCTAGCGCACCTTTAGGAAGACCTGCAGGCCTCCCACCACGGTGGGCCGTGGGAGAGGGAGCGCCATCCCTCAGAGCAGAGCACTGGCCCTGGGCAGTGTCCCACCTCTGGCTGGGCAGGAAGGGTGAGGGAGGTGACACCCATTTCTCACTAACGCCCCTGATCCGATCAGTCCCTCGGGGAGGGGGAGAGAGAGGAAGGGGCCGTCCCTCCCTGCAGCAGGCGGACCAGAAGTTCAGGTGAGCCAGCGGCCAGGAACAGAAGGGAAGTGGGAGGAAAGGGCCCCTGGACAGAGGGAAACAGGTTTTTCTTGGCCAAGGGGCTGGCAAGAGGAGTCAGGACTCGGGAGGAAGGGACCGGGTGCCCCCCGTGGTAGGGGTGGTGGGTCGGGTTCATGGGGGGGCAGGGGAGGCGGGTTGGGTTCATGGGGGGGCAGGGGAGGCAGCAGTCTGGGAAACTGCTGGGAACAGGGAGCCGGGGGGAACGGAGGCACCACCCCTCTCGAGAGGGAAGTGCCCCCCGGGGCTCCCCCAAGGCCCTCAGCCGAGGGGCAGCGGGCTGGTTCTCGCCTGTGCTCGGGGGCGGGGTGGGGGTGCTGGAGGCAGGGGCGAGCCCAAGTGGACAGCCCGACTCCCCAGCCCCACCTCGTGCTGAGCGGTTTCAGAAGAGCAGGCCCCAGCAGGCCGGACTCACCGCACAGGCTCAGCTCCGTCCAAGCTGCCGAGCGCCCCCCCTCCCCCCTCCCCCAGGCTCTCCTGGTGTGTCTGCGAGGACAAGGACGAGGATGAGGACGGTGGCCAGTCGCCGAGGGTGGGAGGCCGGCCACAACGAACCCCCCGGAGAGGGGGGCCCGGCGGCCCAAAGCGAGCACAGCGGTGCGGGGGGGGGGGGGGGGCTCTGGAGAGCGGAGGGGCAGACGGGCGCCTGCCGGGGTGAAGGGGCGTGCGTACGTGCCTGCGTGCGTGCCGGTGCACGGGTGCAACGAGTGTGGGCACACATGGGTCTGTGGGTGCACCCTGCACGTGTGAACATGTTCATGTGTGTGCATGTCGGGGGCGTGCATGCACCCGTGGGAGGCATGGGTGTGCGTGTGCTCGGGTGTGAGGACAGCTCCGGCGGCAGGGGGGGGTGTGGCGTGCACGTGTGGGGTGTGTGGCGTGCTCACCCGCACGTGTGTGAGGTGCTCGCACCTGGCCTGAGCACTGGGAGGGGATGAAGGCCTTTCTCCCAGGCCCGGCCAAGGCCAGCAGAGGTCGAAGGTCGGGCTCTAACACACCCGAGGCCCGGGCTGAGGGGCAGAAACTCAAGAGGGAGCCTGGGGAGCCCCTCAGGGCCGCCCCGACGTGAAGCGGGGAGCTGAGTGACATACCACAGAACAGCAGGGGCCTCGGGGTTAGGGGGGCCAGAAGGCGCCTGGGGGGTGAGGGAGCCGGTGGAGACCCACGTGGAGAAGCCGAGCGGAGGAACCCCCGCCGCCCGGGACGGCTGGAGGGCAGCTCTGCCGCGGGCTGTCTCCCTCCAACTGGCCGCTGACCGCCCACTGACCACCCGCTGACCGCCCTCCCCCAGTCACCCGAGGCTCGGCCGGAGCTCCGGACTCTCCCTTGACCGAGGGCCTCAGGAGAGGGTTTGTCCGGCACGGCCGCTCGCCGCACGAAGTGAGAGCAAGTGTGCCCCCGCGTCCGGGGCCACGCCAGGCTGGACGGCCACCGACAGGTCAGCGGTGAGGACGACCCGGTGACGGGTCCTCACCCAGGTCCAGCGGGAGGTTCCGGAAGGACTCAGCGCGGGGACGAATCTGGCGATACGCACACGGTGCTGGGGCGTCAGCTCTCTCAAGTGAGAGCTGAGGGAGGGGCTGGACCGGCCCGCGCGGCTCCCGTCTGCGGGGGGACGCTCTGCCCGTGGACGCGGCCTCGGACGGACTTCAGACACCCGCCCAGGACACAGCGTCCGCGGCGAGCACACGACTCCCCAGGCAGCGAGCGTCTCCCCTGGACGAGGGTATGAGGGCTTCGGGTTTACCGTCCAAAGCTCCGTGTTGAAACCAAATGACTTTTAATCGTCCGTTCATTTGCAACGCGGGCACCTTGGTAAAACACACACAAAATTGTTGGGCATGCACCGATTTTACGTGTTCCAAAGGAAAGCCTAATTGAGTCCCTGCAACGTTGACAAAACGAAAGAGCTATTCATCACCAAAAAGAGGCCACTCTCCCCACTGCGACCTGAAAAATAAACAAATTGGCACCAAGCCAAAGAAGAAAATGCCCTCAAAATTCCAGGGAACATATGGAACATTCCAGAAAGTACGTGGCACCGACCACCAGAAAGCTGCCACCCCCACGCTGGCTCGGACGGTGGCTGCACTCGATCAACTTCCCCTCCTTCATGCAACTCGTCCCACCGTGTGCCCCCCGGGCCGGCGGCGAGCCAGCGGGGTGGGGGGGGGGGCGCTGCGCAGAAGACAGACGTCAGACAAGGAAGGTGTCACGTGCAAAGTGTTTGGAAAGCAAAGCAGAAGGTGCTGTGGAAGCTCATGACCAGGGCGCCTAGCCGAGAGGGTCTCCTGGAGGAGGTGGCTTGGAGCTGGGACCCGAGGGATGAGTAGGATTCAGTTGAAGAAACGGCCAGAGCCGCAGAAACGGAGACCGGCGGGCGGTGGGGCCTCGGGCCCCCAGAACCCCACTTCCCAAGAAGAATGTGGATGACGCAGACGTGTGGCCGTCACAGGGAACGCGTCCTCCTAGCAGAGCAGGTCCTCAGAGGACACCCAGCGGGTTTGGTTCGACACCACTCGGCTTGAGGTTGCAGAGCTGACCCGCTGTGTAAGCGAGGACCGGCTGTGCTCCCAGGTGTCGGCCCCTCTAATCCCCCCCACCCTGACAGCCCTCGGAGCGGCCCACCCCTCTCTCTGCGGCGCACTCGGAAGCACAGCCCAGAAGCCTGAGCTGTGCGCGGCCTGAGGGGCGGGGGCTGCCGTGGGGACGCAGCGGTCTGGCTTCAGAACCGACACCGCTGGCCGGGGCACCCCCACCCCGACCCGCCCGGCTGCGTGCGAGCCAGAACGTGGGAAAACCTCACGTCTCCCTCCCTTTTCAGAACCGCAGCCGGACACAGACCCTGGGTCTCTAGAACCGGCATGCCGGCAGAGAGGTGCGTGCTCACAGCCGAAGGCCCTGTCCCCAAACTCCCCGCCCACCTGCCCGCCCCGTCCTCCCCGCTCCAGGAAAACTGAAAGGCTGGAAGAACCGCTTCGTTCCAGACGGGTCCGGGTCGTGCCTGCTCCTCGTCAGGCCCACAGAACAAAGCAGGGCCCCCTCTCCCCGGCATTTCCCCACCCCAGCACACGCGGGCCCTGTGCGGTGTCTGTGGACACACAAGGTCACGCCCAGGACAGGCGCGCTCCACCGCCGAGGGTCACGTGCCTCTGCCCTGCGGCCGGCTGGTCTCTCCCCGCTCGGGAGGGCGGCACCGTGCTGCCCCGTGAGTCTCCCTGTGCAGCGCGGTTGGACTGTGTCAGTTCGCAGGCGCGGACGACCCCCAGACCAGCAGCGTGAGCAGAAGCGGCGCTGTCCGGGATCGCGGACTCGGGGCTCCAGCTCAGCGGGCAACACGCGAATCATCAGATGCGGCGCCTGCTGGCGGAGCTCGTTTGAGAAAAAGAACAAAACTCGTCAGAGTGTAACCGCAGGGAGGGTCTCCACCGATGCTGGGACGAGATGCGGAGGCCACGCCGCCGTGCCGCTGCCGGCGTCGCCCACGGCCTGTCGCGCAGAAGACGCCAACCTCATGGCCGGTCGGGTGCCAGAGGCAGCTCTCCTGGCCAACGAAGGAAATCCGCTCTACACGGGTTTAGTTCCTTTTCTTTTACAAGATTGTTGAAGACGGACCTACAAATGACACCGAAACAGGTCTGGGTGGAAAGTCGGGTGTGTAGCTGTAACGTCCCAGGAAAGACGGCTCCCCTGAGGTGTCCATGGTGATGACACGCCAGACAAGCAGCAGCCTGCACGCCCCCCGCAAGGACCCAGAGCCCGTCACGCCAGGGAACGCGGGCCCACGGGCCCCGTGCTTCCCGCCTTCCCCGGCTTTCCAGCCTCGGTGCCTTGGCCCAGACTAGCTCACGGATGCGTCTCCAAGGAGGGGGAGCAGCCGTGTGCTGGGGGTCGGAGCAAGAGACAGCACCGAGACAGCGGCGGCAGGGAGAGGGGCCGGGTTTCTCGAAGATCCCGTCACGGGGCCGTGGGGAGTTTCCTTCCGGAGAGACCCCGGCACAGCTGTCACCGGCTTCTCCCCTGTTGTCCTCACAGTCCCCAGAGCTGGGCACACGAACCCCAGTCCTGACACCCCGGGGCCCGCGGATCTGCCCTCTGCTGTGGCCAGGGGAGCTGGTGACCCCGCCGACTCACCGGGCGGCGTCTGGGGGTGTCGTCCTCGTCAACAGACACGCACCTGGCACTCGGGCGGCCGCCCCTCCCCTAACAGCGGCGGCAGAGCTAGGACGTGACGGGCAGTGCGGGGAATTGTCAGAAAGAGCCAGAAATAGCATTATTCACTCAAAACCTCTCAACGTTCCCTTCCCTGCTGATCTAAACTCAGAGAGTCCTAACGGCGCGTGATTTCGTGACGCCGGCGCGGGACTAAAAATAGGGCTTGGGGGGGCTCTCTCGCTCGGGGAGGAAACAGCCAAGGCCTGGAGGGCGCCCCGAGGCCCAGGCTGGCTGCGGGGACGGCGGGGGGGGCCGCCCCACTGTGCCCCCCCCCAGGAAGAATGTCTGCCCCCAGCCGGAACGCCGGCCAGCGCGGGACTTAAAGACCTGCAGCCCCTCCCCCTGCCAAGCACACTGTGCGCGAACGGCTTCCCACCGACAAGGGCACCCTTGGAAGCTGTATTGTTTAAAGCCGTGTGTTTCTGCGTAAGGTCAAACACAGGGCTGCCGGTGACCTCACGGTTCCCCAGAGCACGTGAGCGTGGCGGCGGCTCAGGCGCGACAGCGAAGGGTGGGCCGGCCGCTGAGGGCGGACGGCCTGGCTGTGGCGCGCGAGGTCCCTCGGCCGGAACCAGGAGGGGCGCTCGGCACCTGCCCCGCCGCGGCCGGACCCGGGAGGCACGGCCCTGCGGGAAGGCAGCCGGTCACCGAAGGCCACGGCCGTGTCTTCCCACTCAAGGGAAGCGTCCCGGACACGCGGGTCCGCAGCGACAGACGGGAGAGGCGTGGCCGCCCGGGAGGCGCGGGGGTCGGGACCGGGGGGCGAGTGGGTTTCTTTTCAGGGTGACGAAAGCCCCCCCACACTAGGTTGGCGCTCACCGGTGGACCACCCCGGCCCGGTGCAGGTGCTCCACCGCGGACACCAGCTGCCGGACGTATCTGCGGGCCTCGGGCTCCTCCAGCCGCTGCTTCTCGTAGATCCTGTGCATGAGGCTGCCCCCGGGGCACAGCTCCAGCACCAGGTAGTAGCTGTTCTCCGTCTCCAGGATGTCCAGCAGCTGGGCGATGTTCGGGTGGCGGATCATCTGCTGGATCTGCCCCTCCCGCCGCAGGTTCTTGGTGACGTACGTGTCCTTCCTGGCCCGCTTCTTGTCGATGACTTTCATGGCCACCTGGGGGGGCGGCGAGAACAGGGCCGTGGTCAGTGCCCGCGGGCAAAGGCCCTCCCCTGGCTCCGCGCAAGGACCGAGGGGAGCCCACGGCTGCCCTCTGCGCCGGGACAGACTCGCGATCCGAGACGCCTCAAGGGACAGAACGTGCAGTGCCAGCTCCGCGAGGACCAGAGGGCGCTCAGCAATCGAGGAAGGAGGGAGGGGGGGAAATGTGCTGAGGCGACTCGGACGGCGGTCTGCGGCGGGGGGCAGCATCTGACTGGGGTCTCCAGGGGCGAAACCCCAAGATCTGCCCAGCCAAGGGCCTCTCCCCGCCCCTCAGGCCCGGCTGTCCTCCCTCCGGGGTGGGTGCCCCCCGGCCGCCACTTCTGCACCAGCCGACGCGGCCCCGCCTGCCGTGTGAGGCCGCGGGCGGGGCGCCGCAGGGTGCAGGGCCCAGCGAGGAGGTGGCACGGCAGCCCTTACACCCGGCACCAACCCCCGGACCAGGCCACCCGCCTCCAGTGCTCAGGCGTCCCCCCAGGAGATCGCCGCACAGGGGGACTCTCGGCCCCACGTCAGGCCCCGACCCGCGGCTGCTCCCAGGCCTGGCCTCCACGACGCACAGGGCGCTCCTCCTGGGTCACCTCCCCAGAGTCGGCGTGTCACACGCGTGGGCCCTCCAGCCCCTACCAGCCACGGACGCCCTGGGGACCCTGTCTGCTGACGGCCTCCCTCACCTGTCCCCCTCCCTGATCCGGACGCCCCCGGTCGGGCTCCCCTGGGGCCGGGCCCCCCTGCGCCCGGACACCGCGCCTCTCTGAGAGACTCGGCCGCCCGCGGGGTGTGTGCCCGCCCGCTGCCCAGCCGCCTGGGCGCAGGTTGGAACGGCGGCCTCCCCACTCCTCCCCACTCCTTCGTCGCCCTCAGAGACCAAGAAAAGGGACGATGGCGAGGTGAAAGCCCCGAGAAACAAAGACTCCGGCTCTTCCACGGCCCCAGACGAGCCGCCAGCCCCGGAACTCCACAAAGGCTGCCGCGGGCCTCCCTGCGGAGCTGCGCAGCGAGCACACGGTGAGGGCACGCGGCTCCCCCTCGGCTCCCCCACTTCCGTCCGGTGGAGGAACCGCATTTCAGACCATGCGGCAGCCCCACCCTCCTCTCCGCCCCCACCCCCACCCCCACTCCCGCCAAAACCACGATAAAACCAGCGAACTAACTTTTAAGCAGCTAAGCTCGCAGGAAAGAAAAGGACAAAAACCCAAGAAGCGGCTCTAAGGAGCCTGGGGGGCAGCTGCAGGGGAGGAGGGGTGGGGGGACGAGAGGTGGGAGGGGCTTCCCTGCAGGGAGGGGCTGGCACCCTTCCTCCCCAGGAACCCGGACGCAGGCCCCCGGCTGTGGGTCCCGGTCGTCGAGGCCGGCCTGGCGGGAAGGAATCCTCACCTTTGATGGCCCCTGTTACGCGTGAGGAGAGAAATCACCCGTAAAACTGTGCTGGACGAGGGTGCACGGAGCATCCGGCCCAGCCACCGCACACACCCCACACACCCGTGGGTGCCTGAGGCGGCCGGGTCACAGCCTTGGTGCGGGTGTGATTTCCCCACGGAGCCCGGGACAGAGTCGCGTGTGCCGCCCAAGGCGGCGTTTCAGGGCCCGTCTGGTCTCCCACCTTCCTCGAACGGCGACACAGTTGAGACCGTCCACGTGGGAGCAGGGCCAACGGGACTTCAAGTTCGTCCCTCCGTCCTGGTCGCCCTTCCCGGCCCGCAACACCCACCCCTCCGCACCCCAGAGTGGCAGACACACTGTCCGCGTGTCCCGCCTCCACAGTGGGGCGGCAGACAGACTGGGATCTTCCCCACGACGGAACACTCGCGGGCGCGTCCCCCGGGACCCAGCTTGTGCCGCATTTCCCAGCGTTCCCGTCTCCCTGTCGCCGATGCCACTTCCCACAGCAATGACGTTTCAGGGAATCGGGGTGTCCGGGGAACCGGGGGCTGATCCCCCGAAATCCCTTCTTGCGTGGAAATGAGCTGAAAGAGGTTGGGTTTCTCCATGAGGCTGGGTGGTGACCTCACACAAGCCTTCCCCCCATCAGCCGACACCGATGCAGCATCCTCAGTGACATGGCTCCCCACGCCAGGTGCGCACGGCGAGACGGCCGCGGGTGTTCGGGCCCACGTGTGCAGAGAACACGGACTCCTTCACCGTCACCGCCGGCCATGGGCTGAACGGCACTGCCCCCCAAGTTCACAGGGTGAAGCCCGAACCCCCAAGGTCGCCGTGTTTGGAGACTGGGCCTCCGGAGGTCTCACTGTGGACGATGGAGGCCGTGAGGGACGGCCCGATCGGACGGGGCTTGTCCCCACCGAGGAGAGGCCCCGGGAGGAGGACCCGGGGAGAAGGGGCGTCCGCTAGCCAGGCAGCAAGGCCTCGTGGTGGACGGGCCCTGCCGACACCCCGACCCCAGACGTCCAGCCCCCACGACCGGGAGGGAACCCGGTGCAAGCCGTGCCTCGGCCCGGTCCCCGCGATCCAGACCAACCAGGCCGCCCACCCATCTCGGCGACGTGAGCCACGTAGGTATCCAGGCTGGCCGGGGAACCACTCAGTGACCCGAATGACCTGGTCCGGCGGCCTGCAAACACAACCGGGACGGGCTCCGTGGGCACCCGCCACTTCTCTGGCGGCTGCGTGGCCGCACGCACGTCAGAGCTGGCCCCGCTGCTGGCCACCGGACCGGTGAGACACGGCAGGTGGGTCGGAAGGAGGCCCCGCGGCGCTCCCTTTCCCGAGGGGGACCCTCGGTTCACAGAACTGTGCCCGCCGGCCACCCGGCCGAGACGCGCGCAGCCCGGACCCGGCTCGACCCCACCGCTCCGCAGCCTCTGGGCGTGGCTCCCGGCAGGTTCCCGCCGGGGTTCGCACGAACCCCACGCAAACTGTTCCTGAGCCTCGCGTCCAATCCTAGAAACAGACAAAACGCGAGCCCCTCTGTGGACGGTCCTCGTCACTTCGTGTGTCCCTTAGGAAACTCCCGTGGGGACGCAAACGCCGAGTCTCTCTCCCAGGGCCAGGGACGCACGCAGTGGGGGTGCGTGTGGGAGCCGCTGCTGGGAGCGCTGACCTGGTTCACTTGCTCCCTGCTTGTCCAGCCGCCCGCGCTCGGGGCCAGACCGCCCGCAGCTCCGCATGCGGGCGAGTCAGGGGCCCCACGGGGTGTGGGGGGAGCGTGTGTTTCCTCCCGGAGCCTGAGGCGGCTCCCGGGGTCCATCTGCTCAGAAGGCAGCTCTCCACAGAGCGGACGTCGGTGGGCGAGGGGCGCGAGGGCGAACACCCCGACAGGAAGGAACCCCGAGAGGAAAAACTGACGGAAGAGGGGAGCGGGTCCCACCCGAGAACGGTCTGCATGCCCCGCCGCCCCTGCCCGGCATGGCCCCTGGGTGGCCCGAGCTGTCCGCACGCCCAGCCCCCCGAGGAACAGACTCCGCAGGCGCTGGCTGCGGCGGCCGTCACCTGGTTGCCGTCACCCGGCAGCTGTCACCCGGCGTCACGGGCGGAGCAGCAGGGACGCCACCTGGGATCCAGGCGTCCACAGGCTTCCCTGCCCCTGAGCGCGCTCTCCTCGGCTTGTAGTCTTCTCCTGGGTCCTCGCGGGGTCTCCTTCCCCCGTGCGACTGTCTGAGTGTCCCACCCTCAGGAGGACACCCACGGGACCTCCACTCACCGGGATCGCCTCTGTAAAGATCCCATCGCCAAGTATGGTCACACTCCAAGTCTGGGGGAGCGGGGACACCCTAACAAACACCCCAAACACCTTAAAACCCTGACAGACAGACAGACACCCTGACAGGTGCTCAGCATGGCCAGGGCTCGACCTCAAGGAGCACCGAGCAGCCGGGCACGTGCCCGTTGGGGGCAGAAGCCACCCCGAGCGACACCAGGGCGGCACGGCCCGCCCGGCAGCGGGCGTGGGGTCACGAGTCACCGTCCCCGACCTGAAATCCCCCTCCGTCACCCAGGGATGGGTGAGCGCCCGGGTTACACGCGGAGAAACCCAAACCATCCACTCCTTTCCCGGGGAGAAGAGAACAAAGAGAGAAGGAAAACTGTCCAATGAAGGCTCTCGATTTTCACCGTCTCCACGTGCCCGTGACTGTCACCGGCCCCTAATTAAACTGTCACGCTGTTCACCCAGGCAAGGGAGGGCTGGGGAGAGGAGCAATCAGCCCTGGGCGGGGGGGGGGTTTCTCTTCCAACTTGCGGGGGGCAGGGACAGCTGATGGCCACTCCAACCCTTAGCACACAGGAAGCCGGAGCCCGGGGCCGCTGTCGGTTCCAGTGGTGACTCGGGACGCAGAAGGGTCACAGGTCCCGAGGCTCCAGGGCAGGGCACGCCCCCAGACCCCCCTTCACTGTGTCTCCAGGGCGGTGGCAGCAGCAGCGGACAGAGACCCAGCCGAACTCCTCTCCCTCCTCCTCCTCCGTCTCCTCGTCTCTCTGACAGGGAGAAGCCGAGATGCGGACCCCTCCAGAGGGCCCCCGGGGCGGAGCGGCCGACGTCTCCCCGAGGCCCCCTAAGGCCCTAGGACCCCCAGGTGTCTCGTTTCCAGGGACCGTTCTCACTGCCACGCGGTGACTCCTGTGTGTGGGGTTCCCGGCTCCGGGCAGACCTGGTTCTTGCCCCGGTTCCCAGAGCCTCCGGTGCCTGCCTTACACAAAACCCTCCACTGCGGGGGGGGCGTTTGGGACAGAAACCCGGGCCCCCCTGGGACCGCCTGCCCGCGTGCCCTGGAGCAAAGGCAGCGGGCCCTCCCGTGCCCCAGGGAGCCTCGGACACCCAGAGGGGCGCCCTGTATCCTGTGGTCTCCCCAGAGGGGACGCCTTTTCCCCGACCGCCTGCCTACGCAGGCTCCTTGTACTGATCTGTGCAAACGCCCCTGCCAGCCGCTCTGCGTCAGGAAGTCAATCAATAAATGTCCAGAAGAAGAAACACAGGCCACCTCTGACAGCCGCGTAAA